ACAATGGAGACGCTGTTGAAGAAGTTAAAGTGCAAGTCAACCCCTACCAGAGTCTAACTCCACTCCCACTTCATGTTTGAAAAATGCAACAAATGCTGTTGCCTGGCAGACCGAGAAGGCGGAGCTGCTAACAAATACACACACACACACAGGCTCACGACAGCATTGTGACATCATAATGTACCAGTTTACATCATAGCATACCTCCTAGCCAATAGCGGTGGCAGATTTAAATGAAAATACAGTGCAGAGTTTTTACCTGACAGCGGCACAACACTGCCAGTTTTAGGCAGAATATTTAAATTTTAACTAAAGCCCTTTTCAGACAGACATTCTGGAACATTTGCGGACAATTCAATCCGGTTTTTAACCTGAACTGTGTTTTCAGACACACCACTTTTGTACCGGAACTTGTCCTTTCGGCTGCGTTCACACAGCAGGGAAAAGTTCCAGATGTCTGACGCCGGCGGGGGGTGGGGTGGGGGGGTGGGGGGGTGGGAGAATCGGTCTTATGTTAAGAAGAAGAAGAAGAAAATATCATTTCTATAGCGCCTCTCTAGATAAAAATCACGAGGCGCTTAAGCATAATTCTGCGCACACGAAGACGCATAAGAGACCTGGATAATGAAGCTCAATGGTTAAAGGAATCACTGAAGCGGTGTGAAGAGCTCCGTTGCGCATCTAGGCGGTACCGCAGGAGGCGAGCTGCCGTGGTTCGCTGCATGCTACAGCAGCGAGTTATATAGGTGCGCACAGCGCCCCCTGGTCCCCTCCTCCTCCCCCTCCCCCTTGTCCGGAACTTTACCTCACCAGTCTGAAGCAGCCACCATGTCCATAACATGTCCGGACCTGTTACTAGGGGCTTCGTCCGGTAAAATTCCGGAACACGTTATGCGGATGTTTGTATTCAGACACAAAGGTCTTACAGACAGAGTCCGGAACATTTCCGTTTTTCATGGCCTGTCTGAAGGGGGCTTTAGATGCACTGAAGTGCCAAATTATTGACGACACGTGTCTGCAGCATGATTAGACACTCGTTTATTTAGTTTATCAGCAAAAAAAGTTTATTTGGGGGTGACTTGCTCTTTAAAGGAAGCGGCGTCCTGACCAATCACAAGCTTGGTCTCTGTCACTTATGATGGATCGTTAAAAGTTGTGCATGTCCCCACATGCCTGTTGGGAGAGCCCTTGCGCCAACGCATAATGGCGTTGCACATCTCCCTACCCAGGCAGACAGGAGTATAAATAAGTCTTTATGCTGCACCTTCTGCGCTGTAACTCTGCACCCTTTAACTTTGCCTTTTATCTTATTCTTACATCTAATTTTATTTGTGTTTTTACATTTGATTTTAAAATCAGCCATGTTTTATGTGTCACATTGATTTTAATGTTTATGTTGCTGTTCTTGCTCCTGGAAAGCACATTGAACTGTTTCTGTGAATGAAATGTGCTACACAAATAAAGACGGCAGAAAGATCCAGATTTCATATTACTGAATCTAGACGAAGCTCAAATTATGATTGTTCAGTTAAAACCCCCCAGCTGCCAATCCTTGAGTTCCTTGTTAGATTGAGAAGCAAAAACACCCAGAGAAAATGTGACCACTTTGAAGAGACTGATGGACTCCCTGGATTTGTCTTTATTATATTGACTTTAACTGAATGGTGTTGAACTGTGCTTTGTGGTTGAGCTGAGAAAATGTAACTGCTCTATCTCAGAATCATGCTCCCAAGAAGGATGTTCTCAAGTTGAGGAACCCAATCTTTCCCAGCAGGGATCGAAGCAGCTCTGTAAGTATCTGAATAGAGATAATATCTCTATAATGAGGCCTGTTTTGTACCATCAAAGTCTTCAAAAGGATTTGAAACCTGACCTCCTTCCTAGCACGGACAATCCCCTGGTAAAAGCTCCCTATCATTAATTGTTTTCTCTTCTTGCTAAATCCTTGTCTTGCGTGGTGGTTATTAACCCTTGGCCAAGTGCTTTCTACTTGCATTTTGCTAATGTGTCTCCATTTATTTATTTATTTATTTATTTATTTATTATTTTTCTTGTTTAGGATGACACTTTGTCCGTATGCAGCAGTACTTGTCACACAGCTAAACGGTCATAATCAAATGTTCCTCCACCATCAGCACGAGTGTGAATGATATCTTTGACTTGTGGCTGGATGATAAACATCTGCACATATCTAAAGGAACTGACCACGCCATTCCAACTTGGACCCACTTGGAACGTTTGCATATCCTGTTTTATGACTACTGTCAATTGTGAGCAGTCTTGCGTTGAGCATCTTATCTGTCTGATGCTGTGAGGATCTCTTGATGCGGCACCTGATAGAATGTAATAAAACATCATGGTTGTCAGGAAAGATTTCACACACAGATACTGGTCCAATAACGAAGCAGACACCAATAAAGTAATAATTATTCATTGCTAACCCACTTAACTGGCTAACTGGGTGTTAAGGTCTTTCATCATTTGATGAAAAAAATAATTAAGACACTCATTATGTCCAGTAATGTTGTAAAACTGATTAAAAAGGTTGAATTGCAAGATGCACTTTTACACAATCTGCACAAAATACTCACAGCCCCTTGTCAAAGCGTTTTAGCCTATCTCCATCGAGTAACCTTGGCCAGGTGAAGCAGTTTCAAAGGCAGGCTTTTCTGCATCTGTTAAGGAAGCCCCTACAAAGGTGTGCAAAAGAATCCACATGATCAAAGTGTGCAAGAATGGCAGCCTTGTCCTGGCCTGGCCATTATCGGGCCCCACAAATGCCTGTCTTCTCCTCTTTTGTTGGTTGGGGCATTGACAGTCACTCACCCGGCAATGACTGTCACACCAGCGCAAAGAGCCTGCCGCCGACAGGGGCCGACCACATCAAACGAGGCTGTCAAGGGGCCCTGCTTGTGAACTGTGGCAACAAACACCTCCTGATCCTCACCTACAGCTCAGCAGCAGACACCCACCACTGTGCTCTCAGCCTCTGCCTCCACTCAGAAAAGATGTACTGCCCGGACCTCATTTCCTCTTCTGTTCCCCCCACCCCTTCCACCACCACCGTCCCTCCTCTCTCTCCCTCACTCTGTCAAGTAGCACTCGTGCTAACCTCCAGCCTGTCGAAACATAAAGGGCCACTAAAATGTTTTAGAATGTTTTTTGGATGAATGACAAGAGGAGGCTGGCACTGCTGGGGGTCAGTAGGTGTACAGGATGAGATCAATTCTGGTTTACTTTCAATTCGAAACACACTCCTACATGATTTAAACTTTATGAGGTTTCAACATCAAAAGCCAAACTCACATGCCTATTTTAGCCGGTTGGAATTTGTAATTAGGCATGGGTGAGGACTATTAGCATTTTTACTAATACCGATATAAACCGATACCGAGGGACCGGTGGCACCTGCAGCCTTGCTTCTGTCAGTGCACCTCAGGGCAGCTGTGGCTACAATGTAGCTCATCACCACTAGTGTGTGAATAGATGAATGATTCACTGTAGTGTAAAGCGCTTTGGAGTCCTCTGACTCTGAAAGGTGCTGTACAAGAGCAGGTCATTTATCATTAAAAGACTGAAAACTGATGCCGATGTTTTCCGTTATAAATTTTTAATGCCGATATTAATGTTAGACCAATAATATCAAGCATCCATAATTAAAACCTTGTGAGTTTTTAGCTGATTTAACAGAAATTTTAAATAATCTAATCAGAAATTTAAAAATCAAAGCACACAAATAGACCTGCTTGCAATATAGATGTTTCATATTGCACTAAAATTTATATATTTAAAATGTGGAATTTATAAAACTTTTAGGTAACATTCTTATCTGCACATGGTAAGTGTTTAAATTCTACCAATGCGCTGGCACTGACAGTGTTGAATTACATAAACAGTTAGTCTACAAAACTTACCTAAATAACATATACATTATTTTACAGTTTTACAAACACAGGTGGTTTATTTAAATACAATACAATTAATTTTTCAGTCATTTTCCACTTGTACACTATTTATTTATTTATTTATTTATTTATTTATTTATTTATTTATTTATGTATTATTTTAGAGATTTACTCAACAGAACCAATTTGATTTCTGGTTCTGATGTGACTGAGGTGAGACTGCCACCTGCTGGACAAACACAAGTACTTTCCTTCTTTAAGTTCAAATGATGAGTGCCAACCATTTGAATTCATTGTCAATTTGCCCCTGGAAACATTGACAGATAACAATTAGCCAACATAGAGAAGCAATAACACACATTTTCTTGTGATTATAACTAAAAATAACTTAAACTATTAGCAAATACTATTTAAAGAAAAACAAGTAGACGTTTGTATTGTTTTTTTTCTTTATTTGAAGAAGAAGAAGAAGAAGAAGAATAAGAATAAGAAGAAGAAGAAGAAGAAGAAGAAGAAGAAGAAGAAATTCTACAGCGCCTCTCAAGATAAAAATCACGAGGCGCTTCAATGTATTTATTTATTTATTTGCTTGTAGTTGGCCAAGAAAGGCCCATTCATCTAATTTGCCACAGTGTCCTGGCCAAGACAATCAGCTCAATGATGCAAACATCACTATTACACTTAGAATTGAGGCTTTAAAATATTCTAAACGGTTAATTCATTCTGCGTGACATTAAATATATCTTTGCTCCGCGTCTGTGGAACGTTTTCCAAGAACACCCCAAAGGTCCCCAGACCATTGATTTTTTAAAAAGAGATCTGAAAACCTTCCTTTTGGAAAATCATATTTTTAAGTGTCTGTGAACTTGTTTTACGTAACTTAATTTTATTTTTTTATCTGTTCGATCTGTGATATTTTACATCGAATGCATAGTGCATTATAAACAAAATGCATTATTATTATTATTATTATTATTATTATTATTATTATTATTATTATTATTTAACAAAATGAAATTCCGTAGCTTAAATCGATTTATCTAACATTTTCTCATCAGGCCTGGTGAGCGATCTGCCATCTCCCCTCTTGATTAGCTTAGACTGATTCAAGATGGCTGCGTAGTGCTTCGAAGTAACGCGGTTAAGATGTCAACATGTCACTTTTAAGAGCATGTTCCTTCTTTAAGTGCGTCTCTCGGCGCAGTTTATCAGAAAAATGCGCAGTCGGGGTGTTTGTTGCGGAGTATTGTCGACTGTGTATGTCGGCGAGAAACGGTGCAGTGAGACGGATATCAGGTGAGCCGAAGCAGAAAAACTGAAAGATTGATAACGGTCTGGTGTTGATGTGAAGAACAAACTGACTTCTTCAATGATTGATTTGTGTCAAAAAAGCAAATTAACAAATATTTTAGCTGACCCCGATGCTTGTGCACTTGTGCAGTGTGTTTTCAAAATAAGGTATTTTTTTGGCTCCTAACATTTGTTGTGAATCATGGGCAAAATAAAGGGTGTTTAAGCCAACTAACTTTCCCACACTATTCTCATCATATCTGTTGTATCTCAGTTTTAAGATAACAACCAATCAATCAATCAAAGCTTTATTTATATAGCGCCTTCCGTGACCCTGTCGGGAAGCCCAAGGCGCTGAACACGGTACATGAGAAATGTGAAACATGGTGAATAAATAGAAAATAAAAGCAATTCAAATGGTGCAAAAAAGGTAAGACATTGAAGTTGAAGACAAATGGGTAAAACAAGGGATAAAAAGACCAATGAAAACAGGGCAATACAATCATCATGAGGGCCAAATTCAAACACGTTCGGGGAATGCCAAGCGGATGAGGTGGGTTTTTAGGCGACTCTTAAAGAGATGGGGACAGCCTAACTGAGGGTGGCAACTGGTTCCAGAGTGACGGGGCTAGGACTGAGAAAGCCCGGTCTCCGCGAGTACGACACCTAGAACGAGGGACAGCGAGCAGGCCTTGGTAAGAGGAGCGCAGAGCGCTTGGCCAGATAGGGGGGAGCACCACCCTGGAAGAAATTATAAACAAAGACGAAGAGTTTAAAGTGTGAACATAACAGACTGGAAGCCAGTGCACGTTGGGCAGAACCGGAGTGATGTGATCCCGTTTCCTGGTCCCAGTCAGGAACCTGGATGCACTGTTCTGCACAACCTGTAGGCGATGCAGTGATGACTGACACAATCCTGCATATAGAGAGTTGCATTAATCAAGCCTAGAAATTACAAAAGCACGGAGTACCTGCTCCAGGTGGGCTCTCGACAGCATAGGCTTGATTTTTGCAAGGCGTCTCAGATGAAAGAAACTGGACCGGACCACAGAGTTGATGTGAGCATCAACTTTAATTCCATCATCAATGTTCACCCCCAGACTGGTGACAATTGGTTTTGAGTAGGGATAAAGAGGGCCAAGATTAACATAATGGCCCACAGCCCTGCTATTGGAGTGAAAAACAATGAGCTCTGTCTTTCCCTCATTCAGACGCAGATAGTTGGCCATTAGCCAAGACTTTACCTCGTTAAGACAGGACACAAAGGACTGGATAGAGAGACGTTTCTCCTGACGGAGAGTAAACGTTGATGGTTTATCTCTTTTTGTTCTTGAGCAAGGCACTAAAACTTTGTTCTCTTCATGTTGCATTAGAAAAAAAAGCTTTGGAGTCTCCAGAATGACTGAATATTTTCATACCCTCACGAAATATTGCCGTCAAGCCAGCCCTCCATCAATTTTTACGGGCGCAACTACAAAATAAATTACGGTGTCCTCCTTCGAGAGTGCCTTTCAAAATAAAAGTGCTCTTCCACAATGTGCACCTGAACATGCTGATGAACACTTTTTCTGTGTAAAACTGTGTGCAAGATAAAACTGCGTTTTAAGGATTTTATCTATTTATAAAAATAATTTTAATTAAAAGAATGAAAATGATTATAACATTTTTATGTAAAACTGTGCAAGATAAAACTGTGTTTTTAATTATTTTATTTATTTCGAAATATAAATAAAATCATTAAAATCCTCCCCCTCCTGGACATCCCCCTCCCCTGTGATAGGACAGAATTATGTTTTCAGAGGAGCCTGGGTTCACCTGAGGCCCCTGAGCCTGGGGCAGGAGCCACCGCAAGTTCCCGCCTTCTTCCTGGCAGCATACGTCAGGACCCAATCCCCAAGGCCCCGCCCAGATCCCCTCACAGGGCCGGCCGCCCCAACACCCCGAGCCCACAAGCCCCCACCCAGACCCACTCAGGGGCGATGCAGCCACCAGGCAGCAACCTATGGCCACTTCCAAGACCCTCCAAGGGGCCCCACTCACAACCGCCAGTAGTCCACCTCCCAGGCAAACCAAGCACCTCCACAGCAGGGCAGCAGCCCCCCAGCCCCAGACACCCCCAGTGAACCCACCTCCAGGGAACATTTGGATACTCCAAAATCATACCCTCCACCCCATCACCCATGGGGTTTTCTTTCTCAGAAACTTTCTGATTCTGCAACATCATTACACATCAGTCTTGAGGTCTAACCTAACCATTAAATGGTCAAAATTGTTTTTATGTGTACTTTAAGACTGAAGTGAAATGATGTTGCGGAATCACACAGTTTTTGAAAAAGAAACAATTGAATATGATAAAAATTGTCTTCATGGTCAACTTTGATTGCACCTTATTATGAAATTTGGGGAGGATGTAGTACTCAATGTATACTTTAAGACTGAGGTGGAATGATGTTGTGGAATAAGATATTTTTAAGAAATCAACCATTGATTTGTCAAAATTGTTTTTATAGCCAACTTTGATTGCACTTTATTGTGTAATGCCACATCAGATCTTTTAACTTTGGGGAGGATGTAGTACTCGATGTGTACTTTAAGACTGAGGTAGAATGATGTTGCGGGATCAGACAGTTTTCGAGAAATTAACCATTGAATTTAGTCAAAATTGTTTTTATAGTCAACTTTGATTCCAATTCAATCCAAATTCAAAGATACTTTATTAATCCCAGAGGGAAATTAGAGTTTCAGTACACACAATTCTGAGATCAGACATACATACATAGACATAGGCATATGACAAGATTTGGTGACTGTGGTCATTCGCAACCCGAGTCGCGCTACCTTAATAGAGATCAGAGGGTTTATATGAGGATTGAGTCAGGTGGAGGAAAAAAAGGCACTTCAGAGTTACCCTCCTCAGGGAGGGCAGCTTTGCTATGCAAAAAATACCTCAGACAGAAATGCAACAGACTTCAGATATCACACAACATAAGTGTCCACTGGGTGGGGAGGTAGGGTTGGGGACTCTCCAAACATCAGTGCATGCAGCCACGATAAGCAGCGCTCGTCACCTCCGTTTGGACAGGGGAGGGAGGTAGTTGGGTTAGAAAGCACAGTGACTCCTGGAAATGGTTCCACAACCTTCACCGGTCTCAGTCCCGCCCAGGCTGGGATAGGGAGACAGAGTTGCCATGGCGACAGCAGCATTCCACATTTCTTCTGAGGGGGAGTAATCACTTCAGCCTCACAGGCTCAAGGGCACCAGATTCAGATAAGAACTTGTTTTGGGGCCAGACAGAGATAATTTCCTCTCTGCCTTAAAGTTCTGTTGGTCTCCAACCCCTCTCGATCCAATAATGGCGTAAATTAATCGATTCCCAACCGTGCTGTCCCGTCAGCTCGCTCCTTGATCGAATCAACCTTCTGTGCCAGAGCCTGAATCTCAGCCAAAGTTCCAAGCTTACGACTCATCTCGACAATTATATGAGTTTGTGCGTTCACAGCGCAGTGTAATCCATCCCTGAGCTCCGGGATTGAGCCAAAATTCCTCGACCGCTCATTAATTTTCCGGTAAGCCAGGTAATCACTCAGGCCAAACAGCAAGAAACCTAACACCAACACCATAAATATCCAGACGTCTTCAGAATCCTCTACAGACAGTTGAGAGAGGCAGATCAGGTTCCACTGTTTCCAGGAGTCCATGATATGCCCAGCTGGCTCCGTCCCAGAGGGGCAACCGGGAGCCCCTTCTCCCGTTCTCATCATTGAAAAATGTTGCCAATCGCGTTGAGAGACCAACTGACCAGGTCCATTTTTAATAATTTCCAGTTTCCAGAAAAAATGCAGAAGCGCCTTACACCCAAAGACAGACAAAGAGCCTTGGGATAAGATAGGGAGGATGAAAAAAGCGTCTATACTCTCCAAGAGCCGGAAAAAAAACTTTATTTCGAAATGCCACATCACATCTTTATGAACTCTGAGGAGGATGTAGTACTCGATTTGTACTTTAAGTCAGAAGTGGAATGATGTTTTGGAATCAGACAGTTTTTAAGAAATTAACCATTGAATATGATAAAAATTGTTTTTATAGCCAATTTGATTGCACTGTATTTTGAAATGCCACATCAGATCTTTGTGAACTTTGGGGAGGATGTAGTACGCAATGTGTACTTTAAGACTGAGGTGGAATGATGTTGCGGAATCAGACAATTTTTGAAAAAGAAACCATTGAATATGATAAAAATTGTCTTCATAGTCATTTGATTGCACTTTATTTTGAAATGCTACATCAGATCTTTTAGAAATTCGGGGAGGATTTAGTATGGGATGTGTAGTTTAAGACTGACGTGGAATTATGTTGTGGAATCAGACAGTTTTCGAGAAATTAACCATTAAATTTAGTCAAAATTGTTTTTATAGTCAATTTGATCACACTTTATTTTAAAATGCCACATCAGATCTTTATGAAGTCGGAGAGGATGTAGTACTCGATGTGTGTAAGACTAAGGTGGAATGATGTTGCGCAATCAGTTTTCGAAAAATTAACCATTGAATTGAATTGTTTTTATAGCCAACTTTGATTGCACTTTATTTTGAAATGCCACTTCAGATCTTTTTGGAAATCGGGAAGGATGTAGTACTCGATGTGTACTTTAAGACAGAGTTTAAATGCTGATGCGGAATCAGACAGTTTTTGAAAAAGAAACCATTTAATAGGATAAAAAATAGGTGTACCTCGTAGGGGTTGTACGAACTAGTCGAATTCACGGCTCTGTAGTGACTTTTTATGCCTGTCATCAACTAGTCGCTGTCACGTGATAATGACTGACAAGATGCAGTCCTCGGAAAAGACAGCAGGCGATGAGCCCCTGCGCGTCTGGATCGAGGTGGAGGCGACGCGCTGTGCGGTACTGACACCGGCGGTAAAACGGACATTTAACCAAACTGTGGCGTTTTCCCTCTTGCAATTTAACCTTCCCCTCACCCCCATCCTAATCTTAACCAGTTTGCGCATGCAAAGCTCTGATCGTTGACGTGCGCTCCAGACATTGCGTCCTGAGCACCGCCAAATCAGGTGTCACCACCTCAAAAACAAATTAAACACGCGATCGTTCATGTCGGCTCATTTCCTTTCATGTTTTCTGTCTGTTATTTGTGCCTGATGCGCTTTGCTGCTGCGGAGCGAGGCGCATCACCTGTTTTGTCCTCCGGTGACGCATCCCCAAGATTCCACTATCTCCACTCCGCTCCGCTCTGGCACGAACTCCGCAGCAAAAACGGTCCAGTTGTAGTCGGCTGGCGAGCAGCGGCACTCCGCTGTTTTTGCGGTCGGTAGATCTTTTAGAACTGCAGTTCAAAGGTAACTCATAAGGTGAATATATATGAACCCAGGTAGCAGTTTTTCTTGAGGGATTGAGAGGAGATGCAGGAAGATAATAAACAGACAGGACAGAAAAATAGTCAAATAAAAACAAGTTAGTTTTTGTACCTGGTAGTTGCAACAAACAGACACCACTGAAGGTAATCAGAAGTGAGGAACAGAAAATGAAATAATTATTTTAATGTTTAGAGCAGCAGGAACTCCGAGAGGCTGCAGGCGCATCAGTGAGTTTGCGGCTGCTGCGCAGGGGGAGGGGGGAGAGGACTGAAGTAGGATGCAGAACCTACTGTTGTTAAAAGAGATGTGTTAACTTAGCAAATGTGGGCGCAATTTTAATTGTCAAAAACTCCAGCGAACCTACCGACCGCCCCCCACCCCGCCGCCGCTTCCGGCGTATGACGTCATCAACGACTAGTCGAAGTCGACTCGACTTTCATTACTTGACTGTCGACTTTTAAAAAAATAAAGTCGTGCAGGCCCTAGTACCTCGCCTACTTGCCTGTTGACTGCTGGAGATAGGCACCCCCCCCCCCCCCACCCCACCCCCCCACCCCCCCGCGCGCGCGCGACCCTGCGTGGACAAAGCCGGTTCAGAAGATGGATGGATATATATATATATATATATATATATATATATATATATATATATATATATATATATATATATATGTATATGTATATATATATATATATATATATGTATATGTATATATATATGTATATGTATAGTGCTTGATGTGTACTGTAATACTGAGGTGGAATGATGTTGTGGAATCAGACAGATTTTGACAAAGAAACCATTGAATATAGTGAAACTTTATTTAGAAATGCCACATCAGATCAGGATGAATGGGAGGGGATGTATAAGATTTGCAAAGTACACAAATGTGTTTATTCTTTTTATTTAAAGTATTTTTTAAAAATTAATCAAATCATTAAAAATGCAGTTTTATGTTGCACACATTTTTACACCAAAAAGCATTTAAATCATGTTCATTATTTTAATTAAAGGTATGTTTTGAAATAGATCAAATAATTAAAAACAGTTTTATCTTGCACACTATTTTACAGAAAAAAATGTTTTAATCATTTTCATTCTTTTAATTAAAGGTATTTTTGAAATAAATAGAATCATTAAAACACAGCTTTATCTTGCACACAATTTTACAAAAAATGTTTTAAATTTTTTCAGTCTTGTAATTACAAGTGTTTTTTAAATAGAGAAAACCATTAAAACACAGTTTTATCTTAAGACACAATTTTACACAAACGTATAAATGTGTTAAGCACGTTCAGACACACATCCTATAAGTGCACTTTTATTTTGAAAGGCACTCTTGACCGAAGAAGACACCGTAATTTCTCTTGTAGTTGCGCCTGTAAAAATCGAAGGAGGGCTGGCTTGACACTCACTTCCGAAAGGAGGGCTGGTTGACGGCAGTCATGAAATGATCATGTTAACTTACGTCAAACTCAAGGATGCAAGATTTTACTTCTTAAGTAACCCAAAGATGCCTAAGCCACTGACTAAACCGTCCATCCGTCATTTGTAGTTGCATCTAACTAAAACTGCAAACTGATTAAAAATGGTTTATTAGACTATTTCATGTCACCTAAACATCTGAGTTATTTCTGTGTGTCTAGAGTGAAGAAATGTTTTCTCATTTTTTGCTTGGATAATATCATTCAGCATCTTTTATATAGGAAACATCATCAAACAAAACTGGGCTTTGTTCATGAGAACACACACAATTGGGACTAAGCAGCTATTAGCTAAACAGTCATAAACATTTTTACACTTACTTTATTACTATTTGCTATGTTAATGATTTAGGACATGTGTTTAATGACTTGGGGAAAAAAGGACAAGTTGTTATGAAGTAAAATTTAGAAAAGGCTATTCTGGTTTTTGTGAAGTGCTCAAAGCTTTTTTTTATTCAACTTTATGTGAATGAGAATTGTGGTACAATTAAAAACAATAAAAAAATTATGAAAAAATATTTTACTTAGTTCTTGGTGAAACTGTATTCAGACTGTGTAATATGCAGATTCCGGTAAGAAGTAAAATCTTAAGCAGTTTGTTGTTGGGAATTGAATATTTATGACGGATGGTTCAATGCATTTTTTTTTTATTCCTTTTTTTTTTTCCAGGAACTCCATTTCACCTTCAAAGAAGAAATGTTTTATCTATATTCCCAAAGTCAGATGATGCAAAGAAACGTGTGCTTGAACAGTCTCAGTTGTTGGACGGTGAGTTGATTTAGAGCACAAGTTGTATATATATATATATATATATATATATATATATATATATATATATATATATATATATATATATATATATATATATATATATACGTATATACATATATATATATACGTATATACGTATATACATATATATATACATATACGTATATACATATATACATATATATATATGTATATATACATATATATATATATGTATATATACATATATATACATGTATATATACATATATATATATGTATATATACATATATATACATGTATATATACATATATATACATGTATATATACATATATATATGTATATATACATATATATATATATGTATATATACATATATATACATGTATATATACATATATATACATGTATATATATGTATATATACATATATATATATGTATATATACATATATATGTATGTATATATGTATATTATTGTTTGCAAAGACAGCTCCATTTGTATTCTATCTATCTATCTATCTATCTATCTATCTATCTATCTATCTATCTATCTATCTATCTATCTATCTCTCTCTCTCTCTCTCTCTCTCTCTCTCTCTCTCTCTCTCTCTCTCTCTCTCTGTCTGTCTGTCTGTCTGTCTGTCTGTCTGTCTGTCTGTCTGTCTGTCTGTCTGTGTTTTTATTACTGGCTTCAACTTCTAAATCATCCACATCACTTTTCATTGTCATCATGAAAAGTGTAGTTGAAAATATTTGCAATAGGTCCCTGATGAGAAACTATGTTCACTCTGTTTTCTTTATTTCTAGTTCTTGAGGCGAGAATCCAGCAGCTCCAGTCTGACTTCGTTTTAGATGTTCAGTTTATTAATGTTCCCTCCAGTGGAAGAGGCGTTTCATCTGGTAGGACTCCCAGCAGGGGGTCACCTCAGCAAAAAAGTGACAATGCCAAATCCGGACAGAGTGCTACACAAGGAGCCTCCAAACATCAGCCCATCCGCTGGATGGAAAAGTTATCTCAGGAGGAGAAAAGTAAACTAAAGAGACAGCAGCGCCTTCAGCAGAAACTCCAGAAAAAACTCAAGAAAAGATCACAAGAGACACTAACGATTAATCCTATAGGTAGCAGCTTAATCCCCCCTGGTACAACTATGTCTTCAGCTTCAAGAGAGAGCAGAAGTGACAAGAAACTGTCAAGTGGACTTTCTGCTGCTGTTCCTTCACCATTTGTTGAAATAGCTGCTGCCGCAGGAAAAGCAGCAGCAGTGTCAAAGCAAGCATCAAGACTAAATCAGAGAGACTCAAAAACGAAGGTTTTTGAAAAAGGAGACAGTGAAAAGAGGAGTATCGATTCTCGGGGCAGGGAGGAGGGCCTGGCTGAGGTCAAGGAGCTTAAAAAACGTCTCAATCAGCGAGTGCGTCCCAGGTCGTTTTCAGGTACCCCAGAGATGCAGGAGCAGGGCAATGCAAAAAGACCATGTGAGGACATCCAGTCTAGCATCCGCTGTTACCTGGAGGCATGCGTGTTTGTGGGGGAAATTGAGCGCTCTCACAATTTTCTGCTCAGTCAACACAGAACCGTGAATCAACGTAAACATCTCAACACGGATGTTTACAACATCGTAATGAGGATGTGGGCTAAGGAGGTAAGTGCAAAAATAAAGTAGAAAAGGCACTCCACACAATTAGACCGAGGAATCTCAGCACATGTAGTTAACAGTGCTTTCAAGTTTTTCTATTTTGCTCAAAAGGAATTAAACATATTTGCCAGTTACTCGTGTGGTGAAACACCTTTGATCATATGACATGATGATCATTAGGCCCACAGCTCTTGTATCTCTTTCTCTACAGGGCTCATTACATCATGTTGGTAGCATTTTTATCCTGTTAGAAGAAGCTGGTCTGAAGCCAAACCGGGGCTCCTACGCTGCTGCTCTGGAGTGTATGGGTCGTAGTCCAAACTGCTCACCAAAAGTCATTACAAGGTATGTTTGCTATTTTACACAAGTCGACACAAATAAGATCCATGAACAACAAGCAGTTGGCAGGTTCATTTGTGTCGTTGGGTTAACCAAAAGCAAAGTAGATGAAAATTAAAGTATCTGAATGCAGTGACAATACAGATGTTTACCAGAAGGGGGCGGCATCAGGTCTAAGTTACTTATTTCTGGATATTCTTTCTGTCCAAGTTATTTGTGTATTTATCAGATTAAAATGCAGTAATGCATTTGGGGGAATGAACATGCTTCCAAGCTTTCTCATAATAAACACAAGGATGTGAATTGATATATATATATATATATATATATATATATATATATATATATATATATATATATATATATATAAATATATATATATATATATATATATTATTCAACTGAATTCTAATATCCAGATCAGGAACTTTAACATTAAACCAGTTATGATGCATTATGTTCTACAGATAAATAGTTACACTCAGTGGCATTTTACAGCATCAGAAAATCCAGTAAGGATAATGTGAGTGTTGTATGAAATGCAAATTGGGTTTGGTTGTAAAGAAATTCAGTAATTTTGAGCCCTCATTCATGAAATGTTAGAAATATTCCTGTAATATTCCAGTGAATGACATTTAGACACCCCGTATGGTCAAAATCCTGATTAATGAAACATGCGATGGTTGTACGCACTTGTTGACTAATCCAACCTGTGCTACCCAGGGGCTCATGTCCGTTTAGTCATTCACATACAGAAACACCCTCAATCAACCATATTTGGTCACACCATGTCCTCAGCTCACGAGGGGAATCCCTGGGTTTTTCCCAAAAAAATAAAAACCTTTGTTGACAGCGAGATTGAGACACTGACTGCCGAAGTGCAAAAGCACCAAGAGGTTATAAAGGTGGTCTGGATGGAGGAGAGGTCTCCATCAGAAATGAATAAAAGATTAGTAACGGGTTATCATTAACATTTTACATTTAAAGGTGCAGTATGTACGAATATAGTTAGAATTTTACAGAGAGAAAATCCCCAAAGACTTTTTACTCATGACAAAATAGCGTGAGGGGATCAGTAAACCGTGTAAGGGAACTTGTATGCTCCACAGAAACCACTCGGCTGAAACATGGCGGTGTTGCTGGACCACAAGGCATCGCTTGTGGATGTTTTTCTTGTTCTAGTCGTAAAAACCAGCACTGTCTTATTTTTTTATTCTACAGCTAAGGCAAGTGGTGCATCTTATGTGACTATATCTTTGCCTGCTACATATAGGTTGGCAATTAAATAGAACTAAAGTAACTAAAATAAATGGAAATATTCTTGTCTCCAATCAAAACACACAGAATTACACTGCATTTACACTCCAGGGGCCTCCTTTATCAAACATTCGTAGAAACGCTCCTTTATGCTATCCTTCAAATGGAATTTAGAATGTTTGTACGAACAGCCCAAAGTCTGATTCATGACACACGCGGTGGCCTCTCGTACGCATGTTCCTCCGCAATCAGCTGTTGATAAATCCCACTTGTGCATACTCAGGTGCTCGTGCCTGTTGACATCTATTTGCCTAGAGAAACGCCCTCAATTAATCATATTTGGTCACGCTACGTCCTCAGCACGTGAGGGGATTCCCTGTTTTTTTCCCCCAGAAAAAATAAGAAAAACTTTATTGGCAACGAGATCGAAACACTGGCTGTCAAAGCGCAAAAGAACCAAACAAGTTACGGAGGTTAAAAACGTGGTCGGTACAGAGGAGAGGTTCCTGTCAGAAGTAAATCAAAAATGGATTTGATAAATGGTGGAGTAACGGGTTCTCGTTTACATTGAAGGAGTCGTTTTGTTTGGAGTTAGTTTCATTTGGAAATGTTGTCTGAGAGTGCAGCCTCTGAGCTGTCATTTAATCTAGTTGCCTTGGCAACGCGGCGCGCATGATCGGGGAGTTGTAGTTGTAGTTGTAAAATAAAATATGAACTGGGATCAGATTCGTAAGGTTTGTCCGTCGCTCCACAAAGGGTCCCCAAATCCGAGCATAGCAGAAGGACTTCCCTTGAGATCGGTGCGCTCACAGAGAACGCGTTCCCTCTGGAGAGCATGCTTTGGTAAAACCTCCATTAACACAGATCAGACCGTCGGTCACAGGTGTCTGACACACTGATGACTGAGACATTCGGTATTGCGCTTCCCTGTTCTGCAACTAGATGCTGTGCGTACGCACGGTCAGAGAGGTTCTTACATTGAGGAACGTTTCTACGCACAAGTACAAAATGAGAAATACCACACAATGCGTAGAATTGTTCCTACGCACAAAATACTCACAGATCTGTGCGTAAGTACATTTGATAAATGAGGCCCCAGGTCTTGAAGCTCAAATATAACTTTTTCTTTCAGATTTTGTATTTAAACATGACCACCATGAGACTCAACAGTAGCTCTCAAGTGACCTGCATGTCCCACGTCACACACAGTTACAGAAGTATAGTTAGATTCACACATTTTACCACTACTTGTGCAAACCTATATCATCTGTCCTTCTGCAGTGATGGTGGGTAATTGAGATGCAAATGATCATTCACCCAGTTCTGCAAACCATGAGATGTTGTGTGAAAGAAGCCTGGGTTGAATAAAACAAACAAGTAAAATGAGTTTTCCTTTCTGCAGTCGCCTTCTTGCAGTTCTTTCTCAGAATGGGAATGTGATTTTCACTCTGGGAGGACTTGTGACTTGAGCTGGTGCTAAATAGATAAACTGAATTGGATTAAGTCAGATTTGTCACCATGCATTTTTTGAATGTTGCTGAAGCTCTCTGAAGGTGTGTTTTGGGTCATCATCCTGTTGCAGGGTGAAACTGGCTCCAATCAGAGGCTGTCTAGATGATTTAGCAATGTTTTTCATATAATATTCAACAAACTGGTGGCCTGCCAAAGAACATCCTTTCTTTTCTGTAAACAAACAACATCCAGCTACTATGATTCAGAAATTGCATGATTAATGTTAAAAAAACTGTCAGCTGGAGTTCTGACTGTTTTGGAACAACCAGTACAATCTGCGATTACATTAAAATCTGACGTGCTTGAAGTCTGCCAGGCTCTAAATGCTGCTAAAGGTGTTATGTATTTATTTAGAAGAAGGCTATTTTTAGGAAAACATTCGTCATTCCAATCTAAATCTTAATGTCACACTCTATTCACATATTGGGTTCATTTGCTACATTTTACGCATTTCCATAGAAAACACAATTTTATCCTTTCATATGCAAGTTTACTCTATATATGGGACATCATTCCATGCAGCGTGGTCCAATACCGGGACATGTGGTGTGGCTTTGAGGCTGGCCGAGGGCTCTGGTTGGTCCATCGACCACTGTAAGTTGATGCTTACACGCCTTTGTGGTTGTGCATGCAGTGGTGCACCCTTCACTCTGTTTCTCTGTTACCTTCATTATTATTAACATCATTTTTCATTCACTTCATTTGTTTATAAGCCTTTCCCTTTTCCACTGAGACTGCTCTCAACTATTAAGTCACTTCTGTCGCATCCTTGCCCTCAATTCTGAACGTAATCAGCTCTCCTGTTTTCCTTCATCCTTTTGAGTTTCCCTTTGTGAGTGCTGTGTCCTCCTGAGCTCCGTGCTCCCTGAGGTGCAGCAGAGCACTCACCAGGCTGATTATGCTCTATCTGTCAACCTCTCTGCCCTCTTTGTTCCTCTGGACCACACTGCCAGCTCCCAGACTAATCCCGTCTTTGTTCAAGGCTTTCTCATTTGCTCAGACCTCAGATTGCACATTGCAGCACAAGTGACTCCAAGGCACAAGTGAAAATACTCTGAAATGTGACAAAAATATTCCTAAATAAAATCCTGATAGCTTGGTAGTTGTTTGTTGCAACTAATCTTTTTGATTTCCTCAATGAGGTTCAGATACGGGTACTGGCAGTCCAAGCGGAAGGCGGCTTGGGTGGTCGCCAAGGCAAAAACCCGGGCATGGGAGGAGTTCAGTGAGACCATGGAGCAAGACTTCCGTACGGCTTTGAGGAGATTCTGGTCCACCATCCGGCGCCTCAGGGGGGGAAAGCAGTGCGCTACCAACACTATTTATAGTGGGGACGGTGTGCTGCTGACCTCTACTCAGGACGTTGTGGATCGGTGGGCAGAATACTTCGAAGACCTCCTCAATCCCACCGACACGTCTTCCAGTGAGGAAGCAGAGTCTGGGGACTTTGGGTTGGCCTCTCAAATCTCTGGTGCTGAGGTCACTGAGGTGGTTAAAAAGCTCCTCTGTGGCAAGGCTCCAGGGGTGGATGAGATCCGCCCGGAGTTCCTTAAGGCTCTGGATGTTGTGGGGCTGTGTTGGCTGATGCGGCAATATCGCATGGACATCGGGGGCAGTCCCACTGGATTGGCAGACCGGGGTGGTGGTCCCCTTATTTAAAAAGGGGGATCGCAGGGTGTGTTCCAACTACAGGGGGATCACACTTCCTGGTAAGGCCTATTCAGTGGTTCTGGAGAGGAGTGTCCATCGGATTGTTGAACCTCAGATTCAGGAGGAGCAATGTGGTGTTAGTCCTGGCCGTGGAACACTGGACCAGCTCTACTGCTACTCTACCAACCAATCTACATGTGGTTTGTGGATTTATAGAAGGCGTTTGACCGCGTCCCTCGGAGGACCCTGGGGAGGGGGGGGGGGGGGGGGGTGTACTCCGGGAGTATGGGGTACCAGGCCCTCTGATACGGGCTGTTAGGTACATGTATGACCGGTGTCAGAGCTTGGTCCGCATTGCCGGCAGTAAGTCGGGCTCGTTCCCAGTGAGAGTTGGACTCCGCCAAGGCTGCCCTTTGTCACGATTCTGTTCATAACCTTTATGGACAGGATTTCTAGGCGCAGCCAAGGTGTGGAGGGCATCCATTTTGGTGGCATGAGGATCAAGTCTCTGCTTTTTGCAGATGATGTGGTCCTGTTGGCTTCATCAGAACGTGATCTTCAGCTTTCGCTGGAGCAATTTGCAGCCGAGTGTGAAGCAGCTGGGATGAGAATCAGCTCCTCTAAATCTGAGACAATGGTCTTGATTTGGAAAAGGCTAGAATGCCTTCTCCGGGTCAGGGATGAGGTCCTGCCCCAAGTGGAGGAGTTTAAGTATCTCGGGGTCTTGTTCATGAGTGAGGGAAAACTGGAGCGTGAGATAGATCGGCGGATTGGTGCTGCATCTGCAGTGATGCAGGCGTTGTACCGGTCTGTCGTGGTGAAGAGAGAGCTGAGTCAGAAGGCGAAGCTCTCCATTTACCGGTCGATTTACGTTCCTACCCTCACCTATGGTCATGAGCTTTGGGTAGTGATCGAAAGAACAAGATCGCAGATACAAGCAGCCGAAATGAGTTTTCTCTGAAGAGTGGCTGGGCTCTCCCTTAGAGATAGGGTGAGAAACTTGGTCATTCAGGAGGGGCTCGGAGTAGACCCGCTGCTCCTCCACATCGAGAGGAGCCAGTTGAGGTGGCTCGGGCATCTGGTCAGGATGCCTCCTGGACGCCTCCCTGGTGAGGTTTTCCGGGCACGTCCAACCGGGAGGAGACCTTAAGGTAGACCCAGGACACGGTGGAGGGACTATGTCTCTCACCTGGTCAGGGAATGCCTTGGAATTCCCCCGGAGGAGCTGGCCCAAGTGGCTGGGGAGAGGGAAGTCTGGGCCTCTCGCCTTAGGCTACTGCCCCCGCGACCCGACTCCAGATAAGTGGATAAAAATGGATGGTTCAGATACTAGCTCGCTATTAGGTGGAAGCTGCTGACATAGGCTGTGTCTCAATTCAGGGTCTGCATCCTTCGAAGGACCCAGCCCACCCGGCCGACGTGGGCTGCGTCCTCCGTCGGCCGGGTAGACCGGATGTTAACGGCTGTGAATTTGGACAGGCCTAGCCTTCATGAACTCCCTCCGCGAACGTTCCGTCGCCTAGCAACCGTGGAACCGCTGGGCAGAAGGGAGAAGGAACTTTAAACGATGGAGCTCGACGTTTTATTTAGCTTTTTAACCCCCAGAAACCGAAATTTAGAAAACAACTGCAAAATCTTTTTTTAACCTTTCACATGTTGTTCTAGGAGGCCAGATAAACGGGCCTATTTACACATTTTAACAGCCAACAGTGTTGCAGAACTGAACAATAAGACCTATTAGCAATGTAAATGTGGTTTTAAAAAGAAAAAAAATGGGGAAGGTTTATTTTTGTAGACTTAAATCTGATGTTGTAATATTACAACCGTGGGTCTCTGGGGGTTAATCATTTCCTTGACTGTTGGAGAGCTAATTCAGAGAAAATACGTTAGACAAGCTGAGCCTGAGCAAAGATGTGATAATAGTTTTTAATACTTTCTAAGGGTCTTAATTTGACCAAAACCGATTTATCACCTTTTAAGACTTTTCAAGACCCAGCGGATACCCTCTAGTAAACAATTCTCATTTGTAAACAAAAATAAAATTCAAGAGTTTAATGCAGAACAGATTTTATTTAGATATTTCTTTTATATGTACATGTTTAATCTTTATTAACCATTTTTTTCTAGCAAAGTAAAAAGCTGTCAAAGTTCGTCCTTCTCTCCTGGGCCCTCTGCTGCTCTGCCTCCCTCTGCAGCCTCATGTCCTCCCAGATCAGCTCCAGAAGCTCATCGCTGGCACCTTCCCCTGGATGCCCATTTTCTCCAGAATAGTCTTAAAAAAACATGTAAGAAAAAAACAGATAGAGAAAAGAGGACAACGGGTTATTCCTTTCATGTTTTCGCAGAAAAAAATAAACTCAAACGAGTTTTTTAAAATATGAGATGTTATTGTACCTCCATGCCACAGCCGCCGAATACTTTGCTCCGGTGATCATGTGGTCCATCTCCGCCCGAAGCTTAATAAATTCCCTGGTTTTCTCTTTTGTTCCTAAAATACAAACTTCTATTAAAATCTGGGGAAAACGTAGCGGGAGAAGTACGACACCGAGCGCGGCCGAACATACGAGCCGAGACCGCAATACAAGCACTTTTACTGTAACATTTCAAACTAAAATAACGTTCATGTATCACCAAAAGTCCTTAACCTAACAGTTTTCAAGTTTATACTGACATTTATATGCGCAATCCTCTCCGACACCTCCCGCTTCACTGTCCGCCATTGTTTTTAAGTTTTTCTGCCGGCCGGCCCGCAAGGCATCTTGGGAAATGCTACCTATTGAAGGATACACCGGACCCATCCTTCATTCAGGCGAAAAGAAGGCCGCATTCGTCGACCACATTTGAAGGAGTCTTCGAATTGGGACAGGCCTAGTCGCGGCGCTGTGACGTAACCGGCCGACGAATCCGGCCGACGTAGGATGCAGACCCTGAATTGAGACACAGCCATAGTCTTTACCTATAGATGCTAATTAGCAGTTTTTCTTAAATTATCTGGAGTAACAAAGGTGTGCGGGAAGACTTCCCTCTCCCCAGCCACTTGGGCCAGCTCCTCCGGGGGAATCCCAAGGCGTTCCCTGGCCAGGTCCGCTCCGACAGCTTCTAGCGTTTTTAAAATGTATCCCAGGGTCACGGTAAGGGTCGGAGATGTTTAGTCTATTTAATTTCTGACTATATAAAACGATTTCTTCGGTTTTAAAGTGTGAAGTAAACTCCGACGGAGTTAAATCCAAGCCGATCCTGTTCATTTTGTTTACCTTTGTTACCTGCCAACATGGCGTCTACTCTCTGAGAGTCACGTGACGTCTGGAGCTCTATAGGGGACAGTGTAACCCAAACATGCTTGCTACCGAGTACACAGAAGCCACTCAGGTCAGCTTTCTTTACATTATTTAGTGTTATAGGATTTTCACACTTGAATGGTAGGAACATGAATAAAATTCAGCAAATATTAATTTAATATGACAGCTTCTTACCTAAAATACCAGCCATCAGTTTAGTTTATGAATAGAAAAGCATCAGTGTGCTGACTCATCAAAAACTGAAATCTAATTGGTCATCAGACAAAAAATGACTTCTATTACTTTTAGCAATTTAATTTAGTTCTACAAAACTCATTTGATCTAAAGTTTCATTCGTATTCCAGCGAAGAGTTGCTCATTGGCGTCGTTTGCATTCTGCAGCCCAGTGACGGAGACGCTGCTCTCTCTGGGAGAGCTCTTGGAGCTTTTTATTCAAACAAGCGTTTCACTGATGTTGTCAGAGCCCTTATGCCTCTGGATCAAACTGATACTTTGAGTTTAACAGGAAACGTGTCAATGCAAATGAGTAAATTCATATTCTGTAACTGTCCATTGTGTTTTTTATAGCTGAATTAAATAGAAAGTCTGTTCAAGTTATTCTTATCTGAGTATTCCCACATCAGCTGGGAGGTTAAGTGTTATGACCTCTAAAGCCATAATAAGACTGTGATGTGGCATAATTACCATAATCGGCCTCAAAAATGAAGCTCTAACTCATGTGCCATCTTCTGGTTTTTATTTTTGATAATTTTATATAAATGTTTATAAAATGTTTCAGATAATGAAAAAAGAAAAACACAGGATTATTCGGCCAAATATTGTTGAGAGATAACACAAACACTAATTTGATGTATGCACATTTGGCAAGAGTCTGTGATCTAAGACACCGGCTGTCTTCATGCCCGTGACTGTAGTTTAAAATCACGGCAAACTATTTAATTTGTCTGTATGGAAACAGATTTACAGCTGGATTAGAATTAAAGATGGGAAGTAGCTTCTGGTAATCCTGTCCCTGGACATCTCTTAATGTAATTATGTTTTAAATAAAAGTATTAAAGCGTTATTTCATTGTTAGTATACAGTGAGGAACATAAGTATTTGAACACCTTGCGATTTTGCAAGTTCTCCCACTTAGAAATCATGGAGGGGTCTGAAATTCACATTGTAGGTGCATTCCCACTATGAGAGACAGAATGTTAAAAAATATATATATCAGGAAATCACATTGTATGATTTGTAAAGAATTTTTTTGTTTTGCACTGCTGCACATAAATATTTGAACACCTGAGAAAATCAGTATTAATATTTGGTACAGAAGCCTTTGTTTGCAATTACAGAGATCAAACGTTTCCTGTAGTTCTTGACCAGGTTTGCACATACTGCAACAGGGATTTTGGCCCACTCCTCCGCACAGATCTTCTCTAGATCTGTCAGGTTCTGGGGCTGGTGCTGAGCAACATGGAGTTTCAGCTCCCTCCAAAGATTTTTGATTGGATTTAGGTCTGGAGACTGGCTAGGCCACTCCAGAACCTTGATATGCTTCTTATGGAGCCACTCCTTGGTTATCCTGGCTGTGTGCTTTGGGTCATTGTCGTGTTGGAAGACCCAGCCACGACCCATCTTCAATGCTCTGACTGAGGGAAGAAGGTTGTTGCTCAAAATGTCACGATACATGGCCCCATTCATCCTCTCCTTAATACAGTGCAGTCGTCCTGTCCCTTCGCAGAAAAGTTCCCCCAAACATGATGTTTCCTTCCCCATGCTTCACAGTAGGGAAGGTGTTCTTTGGATGCAACTCCTCTTTCTTTTTCCTCCAAACATGGCAAGTAAAGTTTAGACCAAAAAGTTCTACTTTGGTCTCTCATCTGACCACATGACTTTCTCTCATGCCTCCTCTGGATCATCCAGATGGTCATTGGCAAACTGCAGACGGGCTTGGACATGTGATGACTTGAGCAGGGGAACCTTTTGTGCAATGCGTGATTTGAAACCATGACGGCATAGTGTTCTACCAACAGTGACCTTTGAAACTGTGGTCCCAGCTCTCTTCAAGTCATTGACCAGCTCCTCCCGTGTAGTTCTGGGCTGATTCCTCACCTTTCTTATCAGTGATACCCCACGAGATGAGATCTTGCATGGAGCCCCAGTCCGAGGGAGACCGACAGTCGTCTTTAGCCTCTTCCATTTTCTGACAATTGCTCCAACAGTTGGTCTATTTTCACTAAGCTGCTTGGCAATTTCCCCGTAGCTCTTTCCAGTTTTGTGGAGGTCCACAATTTTGTCTCTGGTTTCTTTTGACAGCTCCTTGGTCTTGCCCATGGTAGTAGTTGGAGTCTGACTGACTGTGGGGTGTCTTTAAAGAGCTCAGACAGGTGCTACTAATTAAGATTACTAAGTGGAGTAGAGGTGGACTTCTTAAAGGCAGAGTAACAGGTCTTTGAGAGCCAGAATTCTTGCTGATTGCCAGATGTTCAAATACTTATGTCCAGCAGTGCAAAACAAAAAATTCTTTACAAATCATACAATGTGATTTCCTGATTTATTTTAATTTTTTTACATTCTGTCTCTCACAGTGGGAATGCACCTACAATTTCAGACCCCTCCATGATTTCTAAGTGGGAGAACTTGCAAAATTGCAAGGTGTTCAAATACTTATGTTCCTCATTGTAGCTACAAACTATCCAGGCCAGGTTAAAATGATGTACCATGCAGAAAGATATAAAGGAAACTTTAGTTCATTTTCTTTATTATTGTCTCAGTCTTGATTGGTAGTTTTACTGGTAGAGCCTATAAAATCCACTTTAACGGTGTGGTTCACTGAAAAACCATTTTTATTTATTATTTCTGATTGTAATCAGTCACTCTTGAGTTTGTCATGTTGGTTGAACATGAAAACATTCTCCTACACCTAGGGATGGGTACCGAATTCTGTACTTTTTAAGGTACCGACCGAATTCCACAGTACCGACCGAGCACCGATTCACTTCATTTGAAACGGTGCCTCGTTTCGGTACCCGTCCTTCACAACGAGAACTTGCCTAGACAGCTGCGCATGCGCAAGAGTGTTATGTCATCGGTCGCTGCGAGCCAGTTGTAAACAGAGCAGCTCCGGTAGGTAGATAAAATGTTTAAGATAACATTAGCTTGATTTGTTAGCTTCCGTTTATACTAATGGTGCGTTCGCTTTCTCCTCGGAACTCCGAAATTCCGACTAGAGGAACATGAACGCGCTCTAAAGTTTGGCTTCACTTTACTAAATGCGACGGGTGATTGGGTGAAGATGAAACCAGTGACAACGATTTAAGTGTGAGGCATCATCGTTTTAATCTGCTCCAGCAGTTAAATAGACTGTTTAAGATAACGTAGCTTGATATGTTAGCTTCCTATGCCACCATTGTTATCATCTAATGGTGCGTTCGCTTTCTCCTCGGAAATTCTAACTTCCCAGTAGGAAAAATCAATTGAAAAAGGACGGCAAAAGGAATGAAGATACACAGTAAATTTAGTTCACAGTAAAGATGTTTGCTTCAGTTTAATTATCAGCTTATAAAACTACAAGGACGATGTTAAAATACAAACAGTTGAATGTTATTTGTCGTGATATTTATCAAATATTGTTATATATTGAGAAAAATATATATCTAATTATAAAAGAGAATTAAAAATATTAAAGACTCAAAAGTATCGAAAATTGGTACCGTTAAGTACTGGTATCGATTCGTAGGTACCGGGAATTAGTACCGAATCGATTCAAATGTCAAAGGTACTCATCCCTACCTACACCTATTTCCTGCATTAGCTTCTGAAAGAAAATAGATGGTGAAACTCTAGGATTTGAAAATGTTGACAGATCTACGTCACACTGTCACTGAACATTCATGGACTTACCCATCTTCACTCAAGACAGGGAAGGCTGTTTTTGGTTTAGCGTCCAGAAAAACGAGAACGTCTCTGGTAGTAGAAGCTAACTGTTAGCGTTAGCAAATCCATCACACAGCAGAACTCATCCAAGCTTGTGTTAGTTGCGAAGATAAAACATCTTCTTTGCTGCAAGTCATGATAGAGTCGTGTTGCTGTTATCCAATCTGAGATGAGATGTCCAAATATCAAATATAGGAAATAAGACTAAATCCTGCCGTCTGAAGCTCAGCTCTGATGTGGCTCACTTCTAGTTCCTGAAACTGGTTAATCAGTAATTATTCCCTCAGAGTACAGCTTTCAAGCCATCCATTCTTATTAGAGACCACTTCAAATGTATTGCTTAAACAAGTGTTCCACCTTAAATCTATTTCAAAGCTTATTTTTCTCCTATTTCCAGTTTTTATCTTTCAGAATTCCATTTATTAAGTAAAATTGGGTCCTCTGAAAAGTACAAACAAAACAGCAAAAATCTGTGTGAAACGTGTTAAAATACTCATGTTGGGCTTCTTTGTTGTGTATATGAACCCAGAAAAGGTTAATATTTTCATCGCCAAGAAGACAACTTCCAAACACGTATCTCAAAAGGTGTTGTCAAGTTGATGGAACACACACAGGAGGATCCATCTCTGTCTCTTGTCTGATCTTTTGTTGATAGTTTAAAATGATTTTCTAATGACTTTGCTTTCAGATGTTGCTTTTCCCCTTTAGATAAGAACTTTGTTTTTGTCTTTTTACTTTTTAATTTTGCACACACTGAAATTCTTCTCTTTTCTAATCAGGTTTTTGTCTGCCAAGTAGTCTGTTAATATGATGGCACTGACAAAAGAAAAGATGCTGCTAAACTTTGAAATATGTTCGGAAATACTTTGGCTCAGAGAGACCTTTAAAACTTAACCAAAAAACACATTTGGCTCATTTGAAGGAAATGACACGTAATTTAAAAAAGAGCACACTCTCAGTCTTCCTTATGTGTTCCACAAACGTGTGTGTGTGTGTGTGTGTGTGTGTGTGTGTGTGTGTGTGTGTGTGTGTGTGTGTGTGTGTGTGTGTGTGTGTGTGTGTGTGTCTCCAGGTGTTTAACACAAATGGAGGTGGATGGTATCTCTGTAGATGAGCTCTTCAGCCAATGTGGGTTTCGACAAGACGAGAGGGACATGCTGCTCAAAGCCATTAACACCGTATACCCCGGCTACAAACCCAGCCTGAACCTGCACACAGACCTGTGTTCTTCACCTCTGGTTCAGGACTTCTACACACAGGTACGGTTCTGATGGGAGCTTTATGGGTCAGTTATCTCAGCATTCATGTAATGCATGTCTTTCTTTCCCCTTTCTTCTCACTAAAGTAAAGTTATTATATCAAAGAAATGTATAAGATAAGAAGACATTTATTTATCTACATCTGTGATTAACCCTGTGGTGCTTTGATTAAATTGCATTATGGTTTTTAGCTTTCACAAAAATAATGGTGTAGTAAAGGATTTAATTTAGATAAGAGTGTTATTTTACAGGGTTATGAATTATTTTGACAGTGACGGCCTCTTATGTTTTGCCAGTGGAGACACCAGAGAGCAGGGGAAGCTGTCACAAGGCTCCAGTGTGACTACCAAAAATTTGATTGTCACCCCTTAACAACCAGAAAGGCACAGGTCTATTTATAGTCAGCCAAGTCTGCTTTCTAATGGCTCTGTGCTTGTGTTGCCTCGTTTCCTCTCACCTCTCCTTCTGTGTTCCCACCTCCTTTCTTGTGATTTTCACATGATTCATTAACAGCTTTTCGAACAATTGTAGTATTTTTAGACTCAGTCCTTGCACAATTTATGTTCTAGTCTTCATCTTTGTTATGTCTTTTGCCATATTTTGGGCCTGTGCTGTAATCATCATGAATTTTCATCAAGAGTTAAATCATCATTTTGTACATTAAAAGGCGTGGAACTCTGAAAAATACATATTTAAATTGTTATTTCTGATTATAATTGGTCACTCTGCGTTTTTCATGCAGACTGAACATGGACATAGTGAAAATAGTCTCCTACACCTATCTCCTGCTGAAAATAGAAGGTGAAACTCTAGGATTTAAAAAGCCTGACGGATCTATGTCACACTGTCACTTAGCATTCATGGACTCACCCATCTTGACTCGCAACGGGGAATGCTTTTGGTTTACCGTCCAGGAATCAGCAGACAACCTAGAAGCTAACTGTTTACATAAACATCACCACCACACAGAAAACTCTTCCAGGCTTGTGATATTTGTGGAGATAAAACATTCACGTTGCAAGTCAGTAGAGTTGCATCACTGATATCCAATCCGATGCAAGATGTCCAAATATCATGAAATAAGACTCCAAATCCTGCTGTGTTGTGGCACTCAATGCTGCAGCAGACTAGTCAATGCTGATCCAAGCGCTTTTGGGCTTTTTTTGCCCCGAGTACAGCTTGCAAGGGGTTCATTCACACCAGAGATTGTTGCAAATGTATTAAACAATTGTCCCACACCTACAAAGGTGTGTGTAAACATTAAATGTTATTGTTACCATCTTGGGCAACTCTAACATCAGATTATGTAGCCCATAACATCCATCCCTCCATTTTCGGCTTCTTATTCAGGGTCAGGTCGCTGGGGCAGTAGCCTAAGCAGGGAGATTCTGACTTCTCTCTCCCCAGCCACATGGGCCAGCTCCTCCAGGGAATCCTAAGGCATTCCCTGGCCAGCCGAGAGAAAAGGCTCGCCAGTGTGTCCTGAGTCTTCCTGTAGGCTTTCTCCCAGTTAGACGTGTCTGGAAAACCTCACCAGGGAGGCGACCAGGAGGCATCCATACCAGATGCCCGAGCCACCTCAACTGTTTCCTCTCAATGTGGAGGAGCAGCGGTTCTACTCCGAGCCCTTCCCAGATGACCGAGCTTCTCACCCTATCTCTAAGGGAGAACCCAGATACCCTGCAGAAAAAACTCATTTCGGCAGCTTGTATCCGCGATCTCGTTATTTTGGTTACTACTCAAAGCTCGTGACCATAGGTGAGGGTAGGAATGCATCCAATCCAATTTTATTTATAAAGCGCATTCACAAGGCATTACAACCAAACAAGGCGCTGTACACTAAAAATGTTAGTTAATTAAACAGGCGATATACAAACATGTCGAACACAGATAAAAGATAAAAAGGAAATGCAACAAAATTCCCAAAAAACTAACAGCTAAAAATCAGTAAGACACAGGGAGAATAAAAAATTAGAAAAACATTTAAAAAAAAAAAGAACCTCAATAGTACGGAAGTTGATATTGAAAAGTCCATTTTTAAACAATGTAGATGTTGTATAAGCTAGGTTGAAGTAGTGAGTTTTCAAGCATGTACATCGAGAGCTTTGCCTTTCGCCTCAGCTCTCTTCACCACGACAGATTGTTTGGGTCATCAGCAGGTCACCTCAGTGGCTGTTCAAGTCAAGTAGCTTTTATTTCAGACTCTTGGTCCAGTTCATAAGAAGTCAAAAGACATTGCACTGATAAGATCAAATATAATGTGCGTAATATAACATGCCAAAGCATAAGAGACGGAATTATCATGACAACAAAAACAAAAGACAATAGTGACAGAAGTGTGAAAAATAATGATAAAAAATGTGTGTGTGTGTGTGTGTGTGTGTGTGTGTGTGTGTGTGTGTGTGTGTAGGATTTTTGAATATAAAATTCTGCAGTGTAATTTTTATGAATGAAATGTTTTGCTGGTGTTTTCCAGGTTAAAACAATACATAATTTCACTGAATAAAAATTAAATGAGCAGTCTTCTGATGAGACTGCATTTCTTCGACATTCTGGTAACACACAGCTGATGGCTCAGAGCAGAGGCCGTCAGTGAGGTGCTCACTCTTGCTGATAATCAACCAATTGGAGTGTATATGATGTTTTTTGAGAATTGGCCCAGCATTTTATCAGACTTGCATCTAAAGTTGCACGCGTTGGTAAGAGGCATTTTTAATTAGATTTTTATACATCAAATTTTTTGTAGCATCAATGTTTGTGAGCTTAGATCACAACTGGTCTATGATCGATTCCTCACCACAGGCCCCGATCACATTTGTATGAGTAGCATTTTGATTATCTAACCACAACTTTAGCTTTTATTTTATTTTGGCAGGTCACAGTAGCTTAAAGGCTGTCCAAATGACTGGCCCACAAATAAGAGTAGAAGCCTGGGTGGTCTCTGGAGGATTCTGGTTTACTGTTTGCAGCAGGAGCTCAGCCTAATAAGAACATTTTTGTTGGTGTGAAATGGAATTCTGATGAAGCCGTAGATCGTGCAATATGCAGTTTGATCTAGTTTCAACTGACCATCAGAGATTGCCTGGTATTTTTCATTTAATAATTTTTTTCATGCAGAAGCTGTTGCAGTGCTGCTTACCGTGCACCAGGATTAAAAAGCATCCACTTTCCTTTTCTAAATTCTCTCATTTAAAGGTTCCATATCATGCATATTTAAACCTTTGAGAACAAAGGTAGGCACAGTGTATGGTAAAATATTACCATTGGCACTATTGAGATGTGTCAATGGTAAATAAGTCTTTTTCGTCGGCCTTAATTTATACCCAGAAATAAAACACTTTGTTCCAGCGAAACTCCGCCCATGCCCACTGTGACAAAGCATGCCTACCACAGCGTCTTAAGCACGGGTCACACTGTGCGATTTTTGGCCGTCGCACAGGAGTGTTTATGTCACACTGCGAATTCCAGATTCTGGATGGCGCAAGATTTCAGTGAGGCAGACTGCACGATGCCTCTCTCCAGCAGGACACGCTGCGTCCTCAGCGCACCTCCCGAAGCACATGTCACTATGCAAACCGCTAATCAAAACAAAGCTGAAAAGACAAAAATACTAAAAGAGGAAGCTTCGTTTTTAATATCCCCACTTCGGCGTCACGCTCCCGGCTGCAGGTCTGCTTTTCCCGTCTTCCAGCTGAACAGCTGATCTGGTTCCTGGTCATTCATCCTTCTCCTTTATACCCACTAAACTACAGAGAAGTAACAATCTGTCACAGATCGCTGCAATATCTACATTTTGCAAATAATGATAAAAAATATATATGTAGTTTCATTATTTTTTGTATAACTCCTGTTTAACTTGGGCTATTATAAATAAACCTGGTGTGTGGTTTATAATCCGAATTTTAAACATAAATTGAAACCAAAGCTCAGCAAGCCAAAGGTGTGTTTTCATTGGTCGGTTGCAGACAGGAATCGTAGGTTTTCAAGCATGCTTGTAGACTGTTGGAGGCTGATTTGGGTTGTGGGACAGCTCAAAAAGCTGCCGCAGAGCCGGTCAGACTGGACGAACGCAGATTTGCAAATTACCCTCACGTTCACATTTTTTTTACACGATTACGCTCCCAACGAGGGATCTGGCTAAGACGGCCGCAAATTACACAGTGTTATCTGGGCTTAAGGCAAATTAGCTGCTGTATTGGCTATAGTGTTCTTCTATCTACGTTTTTGTGCTGACATGAGTTCAAATCCCGCTGGTGTCGGCAGTCATTTATTTAACCAGCTGAAGCAGATGTCATGTTTTAATATGTTAGTTTTATTGATTATTTTCTGCAAACTATTTTGCGTCTCTAAACATCTTTGAATTTAATAATTTCCAAGCAGCACTTTAGATGATTTACTCTTCTCACCTCACATGGACTCACACTGGCTAAATAAACGAAGAAAGCAAAAATAAATAAATAAATAAATAAATAAATAACATTTGTCCTTATTTAAACAGTTTACCAATAAAGTGTTGAAAACATTAGGCTGTTTTGGAAATTTCTTAATAAAATTAAAAATTTGTAGCTGAAACAGGAAAGTGCATTAACGCAGCCAAAAACAGGTGTGGGGGGTATTTTTCACAAGGAAACAACAATAGTACATGCCAAAAAGTGAATTTCCCATGATGTGGCCCATTTAAATGAGGAAAAAACACATTATTATTGAGGCTTTAGGTTGTTTTCTTTTAAGAAGCGAAACATTTAATGAGCTGTATTAAAAGAATGTCCAATGCAGCCCTTCCCAACATTGTATTAAACTGTGTTCTTTTTTAAAGGTTTGTGTTTATCTTTTGATGTGTTTTTAGGCTGATAACCTGACTGCAGTTGTCAGGTTCATAAAGAAGTAAAGAAAATGAGGTTATTAGGTTTAGACATGCCAGGTACCTTTAGAATAAAGATTCAAACTTATCAGAGGAGCTATGTTTTACTAGCCTGGCAAGCCAGACTAAATAAATGAATTATTTAAAACTTTGCAAAGCAAGAATTTGGTCTAGTTCACTAGGCTAATGCTTTACTGGTCCTACCAGCAGATTTAAGTTAAGCATTTTTTGAGAGGGTGCTCGCTGCAGAACTACAAAGGTGGAGCTGCACCATAAGGTGGAGCTGCACCAGAGTCAGCCCCGCCCATTCACGCAAACTCAGCCTAGCCCACTGACTTCCGTTTTTGTTTTCAACTTTATCGCAAACTGACCTGACCCACATGAATTACGGCTGTTACTAGTTTACAGTCGTTAATGCTATGTTCTATGCTCCAATTAAACAAGATAAATATAACTTGCTACATGACAAAGTCTGAATATATCCCGAAATAAAAAAGTTTCTCTTAGCGAATATCTGTCCACAGCCGCTCTAATAAAAGTCCTGTACAACAGCATGTACCACCAGCATGTGGGTTTTGTTAGTCCAGTGGCAAGATCGTCTGAGTTAAGTTTTGCTTTCCCCTCAGCTGATGCTGGTTCGATTCTCGGTGGGGTCGGCAACAATCTATTTAGCCAGCTGAAACATTGAATTTGTTCATATTTTAGTTGTAATGTTCATTTTCAGCAAAATATATATGTCTCTACAAGTTCTTTGAATTTGGTCGTTCCTAAACAGCATTTTAGTTGAAACTCTGCTCACAGATGGACTCACACTGGCTAAATAAACGAATGAATAAATAAAAAAAACACATTAGTCATTATATGTTAAACGGCATACCAATAAATTGTTGTAAACATAGTACTGGCAAGTGTAGCTAGAAATGAGGAAAAGAGATTATAGGATATTTCCACTGCTGGGAGGCGAACCCGCGCAAAACTGCATGTCAACCTGACACCATCACCACTACACCACCACATCTGATAAAAACTAGGTGGCGTTACATTTTATTATGCTATTTAGTGTGTCTTTGGAGATGGGATGTATGGTTTATTGGCGGTGTCTCAGTAGAAGTCATTTCAGAAATAATTTGTCAGAAAATTCACAGAATATCCAGATTTGAGAACCAAAACCAGACCCGCTTCGGGGGAGGAGACCAAATTGAAGCTGAGATGGGAAGAAAATGCATGAATGAGGCCAAAAATGGCTTTGGCGTGTTTCTTATGAGGAAATGACAATATAACATGATTAAAAGTTCCAAAAGTTAGATTTTTAATTATATGGAACCTTTACAAAAACTGTTCAATTCACTTCTCAACTCCGTCCTCAATCTTGCATTTTTTAGCCATAACACCCTCTTTGGTTCCAGAATGCTATAAAGCCTGACAACTGGAAGGAATTGGACTGACTCTGATAGAATGGGCGGGGCTGATTCTGGAATGGGCGGGTCTGACTCTGGTGCAGCTCCACCTTCTGGTGCAGCTCCGCCTTTGTGGTTCTGCAGCGAGCACCACTTGCATTTTTTTGCACTAAGTTAATGTCATGCTGATTGATTGTTTATATAAACCATGAATTACTCTAAAGTTTTTGCATTTATGATTATTTTTGAGACATTATACAAATAGCAGCTGTGCTATATAATGATTGGGTGTGTGAAAACACACACAAAGCCACCATATAGCAAGCAGCTCAGCAACACACACACACAGCTGTTGTAGCCAGCATGTTTTGTTTGCACCTGTGAGGAAGGATGAGGTAACCTGCGATCATAGCAGATGTGTGGCTGTAGACTGTTTAAGTCTGAGGGTTGATGCTCAGCTGAGCCTGCTGAGCCTTGTGATTATACCAGGGCTGTATGTGAGTACAGGAAGGCTGTCGAAGCTCTCACCATGTGTCTGCATCCTGTTAAACTATGAATAATGAAGTCTTTGTTCAGCAACACAGTTTTTGCTAATGCCAGGCCAGGCGTCGCTTTTTAGGCCTGTTGCATGAAATGCTCTAAAGTAAATAAACACACTTTATTTGGATTTCTTTGCATGTTCAACTGGTCTTTGTTTGTTTTAGAGGGAACACCACACCTATCCCAAACTTGTCTTCACTCAAGCGGAGCTCCGGGAGCGTTTCAAGCGTCAGCTCAGTGTGGAGCGGGCCTGTACTGTCACCATTGATTCTGTGGAAGCTGCCATGCCCGTCACTGCAAACATGGCCAAAATGGTAAATTCACACACTCGTCGTTTCAATACTGAACATTAAGAATGATTTGACAAATGTTGCCTAGTGGGGTCTTTTTGCTCTTACTCTTTGAAATAATATAAATCCAAACTTGACATGTTCAAGTGTAAAATGGCCATTCTTGTCTCATGCCTTCTTTGCAACTCTGGCATTTACAGCCCAGCCTGGCTTGTCTGCCTCTGCAGATGGGGAATGTGGGAAGCAAGCAGGCGGAGAGTCCCTTGTGGTCAGGCAGCATTTACAGACTGCCAGGGCTGAATAATTATGCATTTGAAATGCAGCCCTATCGGGAGAGTGCAGAGTCACCTCTCCATTTGGGGTCTGTTCATGCTTCAAACTTCTAAAACACCTTATGGTGCACCTTAAAGACCCACTCCAATGAAAATCATGTTTTTTCTGTTTTGTACATATTCTTGAGTAGGGCTGGGCGATGTGGCCTAAAATCAATATTACGATTTATTGAGGATTTCACCTCGATAACGATAAATGAACGAAAACTACAGGCGTGCGCAGAAACAAAAGCTGTCCACTAGATGGGGCTGTCACATGTGTTACATTGAGTCAAATTTTCATGGTGGTACAGCTTCTTAAAGGGACATGATCGTTGCCAACCTACACACGTCTTTTCATTGTTTTATTATCAGATTTTTTGACATGGGAAACATTATCTCTATAATAGTCCGAAATTTCGATTACAATAAATTTTCAATTTATTATTCGAAAATTGTCCTCTCTGACCGGCTTGTGTCCATGCGAGCTTGGTCCAACTTTCTAAACTAATTTAAAGAACTGTGGCCCAGCCAGGAATCGAACCCAGGTTCTCTGTGTGTAATGGGCCATTCCCATCTGTACCGGGTCGTCCCGGGCCGGGTAGCGTAGGTTGTTTACATATCTGGGTGGCCTGGTATTTTTCCGGGCCAACCGAGGCTCATTCTCAGCCCTCTTCTCGAGGGGGTCTGCTTCAGGCCGACCAGGGCCAACACACCCACTGCTGACAGCAAATTCACACCTTCCATTAGAGTAAGCCTCTGATTGGTGGGTAGGATCAGCCCACATGGGCTTAAAACAAGGATGTGTGGAATCAACTGGGCCAGGCTGGGGCCGACTGGGGCTACCCGTCCCGGGCCGACCCGGTACAGATGGGAATGGCCCACAAGTCAGGGGCCTTACTAGAGTGTCCCTGTCCTCGGCTCCGCCCACAACCCAGATGTATTAAATGATACATCTTTTTTCAGTGAAAATATATTTTTTCAGTACATTTAACATTATTTGGGAGGGCTTTAGCTTTTCATATGAGCTATTTCTAACACTAGTCGATCAATTAAAAGTCAGGTTAATAGCAGGAGTTTCTACAACATACACAAGCGACAAGACTTTTGTCAGGAACTGTCCATGCAGGAAAATAGATGTATCTCCTGTCTGTCTGAATAATTACATCCACATTAAATGAAAAACACCTTGAGCTTTGCAGTTGGTGTTTACAGACCCTTAAAAAGAGCCTGCAAAGGGACTGTTTTTGCTTCACCTTAGAACATCAGGAGTTGGAGATGCATCATCGATCTTTATTAATGTTGATGACTTTTGGTCGATGACGGCTCAGTGGTTTGGAGATTGTCCTGTAATCAGTGGATTGCCGGTTCAAACCCGGGCTCCATCAGTGTTGTTGTGCCCTTGGGCAAGACACTTCACCCAACTTACCTGCTAGTGGCGAATGGAGGGTCCAGTGGTGCCTGTACTAAGCAGCCTTGCATCTGTCAGTGTGCCCCAGGGCAGCTGTGGCTACGGTCATCACCATCAGGGTGTTAAAATATGGGCTGCATGGTGGCGCAGTGGTTAACACTGTTGCCTCGCAGCACGAAGGTTGCAGGTTCGAAACTCGGCTGCAGCCTTTCTGCGTGGAGTTGCGTGTTCTCCCCATGCATGCGCGGGTTTCCTCCGGGTACTCTGGTTTCCCCCACAGATCACAACATGCCCTATAGGTTATAAATTGTAAGTCGCTTTGGATAAAAGCGTCTGCCAAATAAATAAACATAAACATAATAGATAGATGATGTAGGGTAAAGCACTTAGGAGCCCTCTGACTCAGAAATAAGTTTTAGCTTGGTACGTGTTCTTTCTAAAACATAATTGTGTCAATAAAATGTATTCTTTGCACAAAATAAATCATTTGGATACAAACAGCATAAACTGCTGTCAGCTGTTTTGCTGTTTATTTTAAAAGAATGTTGCTAAAGCTGGCTAAAACATTGCTACGTGACATTAGACAATAATTAACATATTCTTGATGTAATTGCATCACATTTACATTCTGCTTTGTAGCAGCACTTTCTTTTCTCCTCCCCATGCTCACATTTGCTGGATCCTTGTAGCCCAGTTTCTAACAAAGCTGCTTTTGTTCACATATATATTTATCTTTCGCCTTGAGGTGAAATAAATGTTTTTACTGAAACGTTTATCTTCAGAAGCTTCTGTGTTTAGGTGTGATCACTACCAACACGTTCTACTGCCGCTTTATTAACATGTGCTTTTTAATTGCAGGATCACTTGGCAACATTAAGTCTCAGCCAGTTTCTAGATACTGTCTGAGGAAAGATCTTCTTGTTGCTTTCATCTTCCAAGATGTGAGCACTGATTTGGTTAGCATTTCTTATTTCACCTGGGGTTAGTAGGAACTCAAAAACATCAAAACAAACATTCTTTTGAGCAAATAATAACTACAAAAAAGTAAATGTAACAGTATAAATTAAAAAATTAAAACCAGAATTTACCTGATAACTTTTTTAAGTTTTAAGAATAAATTATAATGCAAGAAGCCATTGCCCTCATATGTGAGCAGAGTCTCGGGCGGTTAAAACAGAGTAGCCAAACATCAAAACAAAGCTGTAAATGTGACAGCACAGTTTTCCATTAATGCATTTCACACGATACTTTAAAATCAGCCTCGATGCACCTTAGATGCTTGTCAGTGCCTTGGGAAAGTACAGAGGTAGCATGGAGAGTCAAAAGTCGTGAGCTTCTGAAACATCTCTGAATCACTAGGGTTGTGTCATATAACAAAAAACTATTTTCTCAAAAAAAATAGAATAGAAAGAATCCTCTTGCATCAGACTTGCAATCTCTCATTTCTTGTAAACATCATTGTAAAGTGCAAAGAACATTTAGATTGTTCAGAAAGCCCAGATTTGTTAGACTACAACCACATACCTCTTGTTTAGAAATGAACTCCTTCTGTTTGGAGCGACTCAGTGACATGCTGAGATGTTTTCTTTTAAAAAAGTGTTTTGGTGCCCCAGTTTTATTTCCATCCAGTATCCACTCCAAATGGGATTCATGGCCATGCTACACAGTGACTTGTGTCCGCTAGAGCAGAAGGAGCATTCAGAAAATATCCCCCCTCTCCATAACTTGGATCGCAGCACTCTAGAAGATTTAAGACTGTTGTTTCATGTCAACATTTTTGGGTGGCTGACCTCCAGTTGTGTTTCCTTTCAGAGGGGCCTGCTGGCAGAGCAGCGGGCGCAGTGGCAGAAGATTCTCCTGCAGGCCCTCAGGGAGAGCAAGATGATCCTGGCTGAAACCAACACCAAGAACTACAGGCCTAACCTCTATCCCTATCTGTGTCTGCTGGAGGATAGGGAGTATGTTGACATTATGATACAGGTAATACGAGGCAGCTCGCCCAACCCAACGCTCCACAAAATGTCAGAAGTCTAGGATGTAGCAAAGACTTCTTTGTGTTTGAAGGAAATATTTTCATTGATGATGGAATGTTTTACCAACAGTAGGATGACGAGTTGATTGGTTGAGTCACAGTTGTCTGTAGCAGTCTGTAAAAGGACAAATTAATGTAGCAGACGTTGAGTTTTGGCAGCAAAGCCCGACACAGCATGCTCTGGTCAGATGCATTAAACAGACAAATCATGTTGCTGAAAAGGCCATTATTACCTTTTTGTTTTAGTTATGGTTTTATATATTTTAAAGGTGACTGAACCAGAGTTTTTAAATGTTACACTTTAATACTCTTGAATTTATAATTTAACAAGACTTTTATTGTTCTGCTCTGAAGGTTTACCTGTGTTTGTGCCTCTGACCCTTTGAACTGTGCTCTGTTCATTTCCAGAGTGTTTCCAACATGCCTCCTAGTGGGGAATTGCTGAAAGTCTTGGCCAGAGATTTGGGAAACAGGGTCTACGCGAAGTATTGTGTGCAACAAAAGTACCGGAATGAGACTGTGGAAAAGCTGGGAACTATTTATGATGCTTACACAGGACTTCTGGCTAAAGATACCGAGGTAAAACTAACAATAGAAGTAGGGATGCATGTTTTCCAAATTGTGTTTAACCGGTTATTGAAGCCATTGAAAGATCGGTTATATTGGTGGGCAAAAGCATGTAAACAGAGAGCGACATGAATACTAAAGAAAGGGAAATTGTTTTTTGTTCTCATGTTTTTTTAGTAGTAGTACATTTTATTTATATAGCACTTATAACAGACATAGAATCACAAAGTGCTTCACATAGATCAAAATAAAATAAAACAAAGTCATAAAATCATAAATAGATTAACATCATAAAATCAAAATGCTCTCAAAACAGAATTTGATTAACATCAGGAAAAATAAAGTAAATTATTTGTCATCACTCAGCAGCATTTTTACCATCTCTTTGACCTTCTGAAGAGCAGTGGAATGCCTGCTTTCATCTCTTGTCAATTGTCAATTAATAAAATCTACAATGCATGGGCCAATTTGGTCAAACATCCTGATTAACAAGGTAGTGGGAATGAAATCAGCAGGGCATGAGGTTGGTTTCATGTGTTTCTGAATGAGGCAAACGTCCTGGAAATCTACAGGAGTAAAGACAGACCATGATTGAGAGGGAGGGGGTTGGATGGGGGGGTAGGAAGTAGATGGGGGTGAAAAATTTGCCCTGATGTTTCTGATTTTATTCTCAAAGAATTCTAGAAAGTTTTTACAGTCAGACCTTGGGTAAACTGGCATAAGAGGGGCGTGAGGTGAAACAATCTGGTTTATGGTGTCAAACTGGACTTTAGAGTTATTTTTGTTTACAGCAATCAGCTGAGCAAAGTTTTCACCGTCTCATTCAGAGATGTTATCAGTTCTTTAAAGTACAGCTTGTGACTTTCTAATCTAGTTGACTTCCAGCGTCTCTCGGCTCTGCTGCATGTCCTTCTGAGACTAAATATTTTGATTAATCCAGGGACTTTTTCTCTTGCTAGAAAAAATAACCTGCTTAACAGCAGCTACTTTATCTAAGATATTGCAGCATTGTTTATCCAATGACTGGATAAACAAGCTTGGATCATCACCCTGAACTGAGCTGCTGTCAAATAATCTAGAAAATCCATCCACTGCTGACTGATTAATGAAACGTCTCTTTGATTTTAGGTTGTGAGGGACAGATTCAACATTAGATAGGACATTAAAGAAAATGCAGCTGTGGTCACTCACATGAACCTCTTCAACATGTAAATGATTGATTTTTAGTCCCAATGAGAAAACAAAATCTAGAGTGTGGCCCATTTTGTGTGTGGGGCCTGAAACGTGCTGCTCTAAGTTAAAAGACTCCATAATGGACATGAACTCCACTGCTGTGCTACACTTAGGATCATTAATGCGTAAGTTAAAATCCCCAAGGATTAAAACTTTTTCTAGTTTGATCATTGATGATAGAAAATCTGCTAATTCATAGAGAAAAGGGCCAGCTGGACCGGGAGGTCGGTAGATTAAAATACAGTGAAATACATTTTGTAACCCTGCTTTGATGACCTGACATTCAAAAGTTGTAAAAGGGCCATTTTTCACCAGATTACAGACATGTTTGTCCTTAAAGACCACAGCAAGACCTCCACCACGACGTGCAGTTTGGTGGACATATTTCATTGAAATGTACAAAATAGCCATCTTGCTGCCACGTCTCCGTAAGAAATAAATAGTCCAACTTTTCTCTGGTGAACAGATCATTTAAAATAAAGGATTTGTTTGAGATAAAGTGGGCGTTTAATAGGGCCCATTGAACTGAATCCTGGAGAACATTTGCCTTCTTAACCTGTTGGAGAGGGATAGGTCGTAAACATCTGGTGTTCTGGGTTCTCCGGCCATGAATGCAGTTTATGTCTTTGCTGGTTGATAAATGAACTGGAATGGAGAAACTTTTGGGTTTGTCAGCAGAAGACAACATTTTGGGAATTGTGACATTTGGAAGACACACAGAAGACTGTTGCATCATGGGAGGACTGTAGGGAGGGATGTTATTTGAAGTGGAGGTTTGTGCAAAGGCCGAAGGAGGTGAAGATCTCTGCAATGTAAACCGTCATGTCTGTGGAAGGGAATCCACCATAGATGAGTGTCCATGGGACTGCACAGCATACCGGATGTTAGCGGTTAGCAGGCTTGAGCCATGCCGGTCAGGGTGAATACCTTCTCACCTGAAAAAGGAGAAACGGTTCCAAAACAGGTTAAAATTATTGATGAAGCCAAAACTGTGGGACCTGCAAGCAGACTGAAGCCAGGAGTGGAGAGAGAGCAGACGGCTAAAAGTCCATATCCATGAGAAACTGTGGGGATCGGGCCAGAGATGAAAGCAGGCATTCCAAGGTCAAAGAGATGGTTAAAATGCTGTTGAGTGATGACAAGACTCCCGGTGTGTAACATCGTTTGATCCCACATGAATGATCACTCTTTTAACTGAAGCTGGGATGGAGTACAGCAGACCAGGAGAGCAGGTGTGGTGGCTGATGGAAAACATCTTGTCATGACGTTAAAAAAGTGGACATTCCTGATTACTGAATCACCTACCAGCAAAGTGTTAGGTGAAAACAGTGGACGGGGTGTAGACAGCTCCTGAAATGTGTTCCCGTGGAGTAGTGGAGGATTCTGGGTTTGGGTTTGGGTTCCTGTGGTGTCGGGAAACTGGAGGGTTTGCCGTGGAAGAGCTCACCTCCTGAGCCAGGGCAGGAGGTCCAGCAGAGTGTCGACGCACAGCATCCTTTAGTATTTTGCGTCGGGTATCAGAGGCTGAGGTCTGGGGGGGGAGAGACTGCGGAGGTTTCTTCTTCCGGACTACAGGCTCCTGCTGGATGGGATCAGATGGTTGGGAGGGAAGGAGGCCTGGAGGAATCAGCTGGTTGTTCCTCAGCAAGTGGAGAGAAGCGGTTTGAAAGATTGAGGTCAGGTGGGAGTTGGGATCACGTACCACAACCTCTGACCAAGATGAAAATTGGTCAGGAGTAGAGCTGGAAGTCGGATTTTGTGGGCAGAGGGATCCCAAGCAATGGTGTCTTGGAGTAGAGAGTTTTGCGTGGATGTTTTATCTTCAAACTGACTGACAATGGTCTCAGACAGTCCAGGAAAACAAGATCTAAAACTAGCCAGCACCATTTCCTTCTTTTGCAGTTCAGCAGAGTCGTCGTATATCCTTTGCATTAGAAAGCATAAAGGCATCTTTGTGGGGCAGAAGCAACAGGACAGACAGACATTCAAGATAGCTTCAAGGTTGCTTACACTGTAGCTGAGCTAGCTCTGTCAGATCAGAAAGAATTTGTATACCCAATAAAGGTCCAAGAAGTCAAAGAATCCAAAAAATAAACAAAGGTCCAACAAAGTTCCAACAAAGTCACAAAATCCAGAGATCAAGAACAGGAAAAAACAGGTTTTAAGAGGAATTGGAGCACAACAAGTAGGAGCTGAAGTAAACACGTCTGCCACGTCTCAAGGACCAATCATCATTTTGTGATGTTTAACTTGGCTTCATCTAGTTAAACCCCAGTTCAGTTATCAGAAGGAGCAGCGCACCTAGGTGAGGCAACAGTGAATTGCAGGGAGAGGAAAAGTGGTGACTGAGACTGTTTTTTATTGATTTATTTTTGCCAGTTTAGCCTTGTTTCCACTGGTTCAAGCCCAGTTCACTCGTGGGTAGATTTAGCACAGCTAGGTGGGGCTCATAGAGTTGTATTTGCAAAGTTAAGTGTTAACTAGCATACAAATGTTAGCCTATGTTTTCCCTGCTGCTGTTTATTGATGTAAACAAGTTGCTGACTTTGCCAGAATTCACCCCGCAGAATTTATAACATTATGTGATAAACAGCGTTTCACTTTACACTGGAGCTGATTAAAAAAGATAAACAAAAAAAAATGTCCAGATCCCTACCAGTAAAATAAAGTGCTTATTTTCGAACGACGGCAAAAGTTATGTTAAAATTTTGTGAAAAGACGTAAAAGACTGATGGTCAATGACCCGCACTCGTATAGCGCCTTTCTGAGTCAGAGGACTCCAAAACGTCTTACACATCTGGATAAGTACAGTCTCATATGGGCATATAGTTCATTCTTAGTCTATGTACACACCACCTTATTTTCAGCAAAAATCCAGTGCATTATGAAGCACATGTATGCATACCAAGCCTGTAGGTGGCAGTTGTTCCCCATATCGTTGGCGTCTTGTTGTAAAACATTCCTTGGACGTGGAATAATAGGTGGTGGGCAGTAACCATCCTTAATATCATCTTTTGCTTGTGATCTTCTACTTGAGCTTGTACAAACAAGTAAGTGAGTGTAAACAAAGGTTGCACATGTGATGGAAGAGCATTTAAGTCACAAGCAGTGACGTTGCTGAACCTCAAAACCCGGTCAGTTACACTCACAAGCAAATACCGACAACAGAAAATTTGCTCATTTCCATCTTGGTTGGGGATTTTGAATGGAGGGATGACGGGCCTAACCGTAGAAAAATATCAGTTTTTTGGGACATCTGGCGATCTTAGCTGTACACCTGTAGCTCATCCCACCAGGTAACATGGTGGTGGTCTTGTCATTATTTGGGCTCATTCAGACGTCTCATTTATTCTTCAGATTTCTTAAATAAAATATAAAAACGTGCTGTAAACATTGTTTTATATGTTTTTATTATTTCAACTAAACAAAAAGCTGTGTGTTCAGCCTTTGTTTGCTGATATCATCTCGAGGCCCGTTTGGCTGGCTGTGTTTCCTTAATGGGAGTGTACAGCCCTGTCCTGAGTGTTGTGATGGCTCAGCTTCACCTGGGGGCTATGCTTATGTGGTTGAGATTATAATGAGCAAGAGCTTGTTAAAATTTCAGCGAGACTAGAAGTTAGTTATGGTCCTTGTTATTATAGAGTATTTTATATGCAACCTTTGTAGTTGAAAGTATTCCAATGATGAGATAACGAGTTAGAAATGAGACTATACTGTTATACAACTCATCGGAATAGTTTCCTACCTACCTGTGGTTTTCTGTACTTTTTCATGCATCCATTTTTAACGATTTCAGACAAACCCACCTGCAATTAAAGATTAGCTTCCTTACTGGAGACAATTAAAACGCTTTAGTTCAAATTTAATGAACAAACATTAACAACACGTTGAATGCTGTTGTGTTATTTGCTGCAGGAGTGCATCACCCTTCCCAGGGAGCAGTGGTGTAAACTGGAGGTGGAGCAGAGCTCGGGGCCGTCGCTGCAGGGAGGCGAAACGAGCTGGTCTCACATCCTAACTCTTCAGCTGGGCACCTACATGATGGATCTGATGGTGAAGAACCTCAAAATCAACAGTGACATCCTGAACCCGGAGCACAACAGGACGCTCATCCCCATCCTCTACCACATGTACACCTTCCGCAGCATCAAACAGGTACAGTTGAAGAGTGAGTTTCTGCACGTGCTCTGTGTGCGATTCCCACAGGGATTTCGCTCGAACACGTGAGTAGGTGAGCTGGAGCTGGTGTGGATTCTCACCTGCGTGGGAGAGTTGGGGCTTCGTGTCTAGGTTCTTTTGGTCTTTTCGTCTCTCTGCTAAAACTCTAACTCGCATAAAACTCAAATACCTTTTATAGCTGCTAACAGGATTAACGCTGACCATTAAAAAATACCCTTTCATCTTGAATTTAGGTGGGAAAATGTGCTCTTGAATTCCAGCAAATGGCATTCTCTCTGCAGTAATGGTAAAACATTAAAACGGAGAATATCTGCCCACTTTAATGATACTGTAATAGTTAAATGAATTTACACTCATCTTGATTTAGTAGTAATTATCCACAGTTAGTCTGATTGAGCGGGTGTACACACAAGCTTATCATTAAAAGGAAGGGGGGAGCCGTAAAGAAACAGGAACAAAATAAACTACCTAAAACACTCGACCTTCGCTTTGGTCACAAAGATTGTTCGGAAGCTCGTTACCTTGAACACTCGAGTGCCCTCTCCAGCGTGAACCTGCAAAGAGTGTGATTTATAAAAACCATTTCCCCCTTGGTGTGAATTTGTAACAGCTGAGTAAGATGAAAAGGTTGCAGCCTAATCCCCTTTTTTTAGTGTCCTCTTAATTGGCTCACTGATTTACTGCCGTGGGAGCCAGCAGAAGGGCGATGTGTTCATGCTCGGAGAAAAAGACAGAAATGGAGACAGAATCGTGGATTGTTTGAACTCGATGTGCTTGAGTGGTGAGGCGAATTGCCGTCAGATTGACTTGTTTCATTTTCATATCCAGGCTGGTATTTTTCAACCTTTCCCTTTACCCTAACCCTGTGGTCGTTATCCCATCGGGGTGGGGGTCCTAATGATTGTACACGCAGCATGAAGGTTTGTCTCGTTGGAGCAATGCAGAGGTGTTTCTCTCTGGTTACCGTCAACATATCGTGATATTTATATGCAGTGCTTTTATTTAAAAAAAGGCAAAGCATTTGCCCACCACATTTTTTTACAAATCAGAAAATTTATGTCATGCCCTTATTAGAAATAAACCCAGTCATTTTGTATTTGTCATGACATCAGCAAGAATTTCATATTTTATTGTGTGGGTTTGTTGAGATAAACATTGGGTCGTGATGACGTTCCAGATAGCGGGAACAACAAAATTAAATATTACAAAAATGATAATTCAACTTCAAAAGAAAGGAAGAGACGTGAATAAATGTGCTCGGTGGTGGGGAGATCGATGTGTTCTTTGACGTGGTGATTCTGCAACACATTTCATTGAAATAAAAGAAATCCGATGACGTTTTGCAGGATTTAATAGTCGTGTAATACTTGCAGGGCTGTATGGTGGCGCTGCAGGTAGAAATGCCGCCCTTAGCCAGAAAGTTGCAGATTCAAATCCCAGCTGCAGCTTTTCTGTGTAGAGTAAGCACGTTAGGAGAGTTAGGATTTTCCCCAGGTATTCCCGACCCCTCCCATAATCCGGAAATTTGTATGTTAGCTTAATTGGTGACTAAATTGTCCATAGGTGTGAGTGTATGACTGGTTGATTGTCCAGTGTGTCTCTGTCCAGGGTGTCCCCTGCCTCTCTCAGTGAGACACCAGCTCCCCACAACTCAGCTGAGAAATGACTGACTAATTTTTGCTGTTTGATGTTATTTAGCTCATATCTGGTGCATGTAATTACACTTAAAGGTTTCTTTCAAATTTTAAATGTTTTGTATCAGTCCGTTTTCTTAGTGGGTTGGAGATCTACCTACTATGGATTAAACACCCTTAAAGGTCTCCAGATTAACCTGTTTTGATGATTTAATCCCCCAGGTTGGCTTCATCAAACCCCACCCCATCCTGACTCAAATGCAACAGGAGGCTGTGGAGAACAAGCTCACCTTTGATTCCTACGTGATGCCGATGCTATGCCCTCCTGTGCCTTGGACTTCCTTCAAGTTTGGAGCGTATCTTCTCACACCGACTAAACTGATGCGCAGCACGGATGGAGCCACCCAGCATGACCTGCTGCTGGAGAAATGCCAGGACCTCCATGCAGTCTTTGACTCCTTGAACCAGTTAGGAAACTGTGCCTGGAAGATTAGTAAACCGATTCTGGACACCATTATCTCGATCTTTAATGATCGTGGTTCTGAAAAGCTGGACATCCCTCCACCGCTGTCAGAAGCCCCTAAAATCCCCCACTTCAACCCTCAGGACCCCACTTACACATCCAGCGAGAAAGCCCTCATGAAAAAGGAGGCGATCAATGCCAGAAAGAAATATGGCGAGATGCACAGCCTGCGTACGGATGCTCTCTATAAACTCTCCATTGCTCATCACATGCGCGATGAGATCTTCTGGTTCCCTCACAACATGGACTTCAGGGGACGCACCTACCCATGTCCTCCTTACTTCAATCACCTTGGAAGTGATGTGACACGGGCGATGCTCGTGTTTGCAGAGGGGAAGCCTCTCGGTCCAAAAGGCCTGGACTGGCTGAAGATCCACTTAGTCAACCTGACGGGGTTAAAGAAGAGGAGCTCACTGCAGGGACGTCTGGACTACGCCAACACTATAATGGAAGACATCCTGGACTCTGCAGACAACCCTTTGAATGTTAGTGAGTTTTTTGTAATCACATTTTATTTTTCCATGTTTGAATTTTGAATCGACTTTCATTTCTTTCTTGGATGATAAAATGTTTTCCTGATGACAAAGTCTATAAAGTAGTAAAATCTAAATGTTTCAAAGAAGACTTCATCATGTTTTCCACAAAGGGTCTCTAAGCAGGATGATGCGCTTGTTTCTTTTTTATTTTATTTTTTTTTAGGGTAAGAAGTGGTGGATGGAAGCAGACGAGCCATGGCAGGCGCTGGCCTGCTGCAAGGAGATAGCCAACGCAGTCAGATCACCTGATCCATCCCAGTTCATCTCTCATTTCCCTGTCCACCAGGTACTGGAAAACACTTTTATTTGCTTCACTCGCTAAAATGTACACACAGTTGAGTCATTTATCTGTAACGGTGCATGCACTAATAATTTGGGGGAAGCAAATTGAGCTCTTAGATGTTGTTCTTGTTATCAGGCTGAAAATGGCACAGAGGTTTCGGTACCCTTCTAAAAATAGAAAGTGCTGTTTGGTCGCTAACAGGCCCACACTCTCCCAGCCATCTGAGTCCATTTGATGCCATGTGGCCTGGTCCTGCAGCCAGCCTGATGTATCCATCCCTCAGGCGTGACATTTGAGCCTCTGCTCTTCCTTACCAAACATTACTCAGTCAGTGTAACTGTTGGAGACAGTTTGTTCTCGCAATATTGTCAGCTGTACTGATATCATCTTAGCAGAAATGCCATGATTAATGCCTTTTTAAGCTTTAAGTGAGTATTTTTAGCTGCACAGGTCATTCATATCATGTTTCCACCAGTAATTTGTGTTAATCAGAATCAGAATCAGAAAAGGTTTATTGCCATTGTCAGTGAACAAACGATTCACAAACTAGGAACTTGCTTCGGTACTAACGTGCTACATATAACATGAATAATATAATTAAAAAATAGAATAAAGTAGAATAAAATATAATAAACTAGCATAAAATTTTGCTATAAAAAATGGCAGGTAAAGGTAATATGGCCGATAACGTGACGTTATGTCAAGTACCAAAGACGAGCATGGTTGTGTATTTATAAGCTGTTCACAAGTCTAACGGCAGATGGAAAGAAGCTGTTCTTATGGCGAGAGGTTCTGGTCCGGATGGACCGTAACCTCCTGCCCGAGGGAAGCGGCTCAAAAAGTCTGTGACCCGGGTGAGAAGGGTCAGCTGCTATCCGACCTGCACGCCCACGAGTTCTGGAGACGTACAGGTCCTGGAGAGTTGGAAGGCTGCAGCCAATCACCTTCTCAGCAGAGCAGAAAAATGTTTTTATGTTTTTAAATTTCCCAAATTTAAAAACATAACTGACATGTGGACAGCAGTAGCTCAGGAGGTAGAGCGGGTTGTCCAGAAATCGGAAGGTTGTTGGTTCGATCCATGCTTCCATAAGACAATGCTGCTGTTGTGTCCTTGGGCAAGACATTTGACCCGCCTTGCCTGCTGGTGGTTGTCGAATGGACCGGTGGCGCCTGTGCTCGTCAGGCCTCACCTCTGTCAGTGCGCTCCAGAGCAGCTGTGGCTACATCATAGCTCATCATCACCAGCGTGTGAATGTGAATGACTGTTTGTGTTGTGAAGCGCCATGGGGGGGTGGGGGTGGGGGGGTGGTGTAGAAGGTGCTATACAAATACAGTACATTTACCATATTTCATATTTGCATTGATGGGGGGGGGGGGGAGGGGGGGATATTCAGGTTTAAAGGATTCTGTGCCTGTTCTGTCTTCTCCTCAGCGCTGCTTACATCTTTTATTTCCCTCGTCTCGTTTCCTCTCCTCTAGGATGGCTCCTGTAACGGTCTCCAGCACTATGCTGCCCTTGGCAGAGACACTATTGGTGCCACGTCAGTCAACCTGGTGCCCTGTGAAGTGCCCCAGGATGTGTACAGCGGAGTAGCACAGCAGGTGATCAGCACTGGGCCGTTTCTGTACTTTGTTCCCTTCTGTAACGCGCCTTTATGCAACAGAATGGTGGTAGGGTGCCTCTGCGAGGCGCGTTGCAGCTGCTCAGCTGTTAACATTCAGATGGCTCTCTGAGTTCCGTGAGTGACAGGCTGCACATTGAGAATATTTTCCACATCCGAGTTTCCTGTGCTTTGCATCACGGTGAAGAAAGAGTCTTATTTTTAACAGCTTAAAGTTTCTGCGCTCTTGCAAAGTTTGAAACTATTCAGCTTCCAGATACATTTAAGTTTGGTTCTCGTTGTGACATTCAGAAATTTCTGAACAGGATTAAAGAAGAGCAACAACTCTTCAGAGAGCGTTTTCGCTGTCAGATTGCTGCGACGTTCTATCCCACCATGTTTTGTTTTTTCTCTGGACTCGGCAATTATCCTTAAATAATAGTGAAGATGATATCAGGCTTATGTAGTAAAGCATCAAGATAAATAAATCTTTTCTGCTCGTAGGAGTACGCTCAGAAACTCTGGGATCAAAGTGTGATACGTCCAAGTTCTCCACTTCTCAAATGTTAACCGTTGCTGCTTATTGTTTGTTTATTGACTGGGAAAATTGTTGAAATATTTTTGGGGATTCTTTTGACAATTCTTCTACTTCAGAAAACTAGATACTAATTTGAATCAGGGATGTGTATTGTTGAAATTCTGGCGATACGATACAGGGGAGACGATACGATACATATCACGATACAGGGGAGACGATACGATATATCACGATATATTGCAATACATCCAGTCAGACGTTACAAGCAATTTTTTTTTACTGAATTTATTGTAAGAATGCTCAATGAACAGTCCAAACTGATTCTTAACATGTTTAACATGAGGTATCTGACCCATGATGGAGGGATTTACATTTCAATGGTGGAAACAAAACCCGTTGCACACTGCTGCCAACTAGCGGGTGGCAATTGAATTGCACAAAACGAAAAGAAAATACACAAATGTTTGCATGTAAATGCTTTCAAAGATTAGATACATGGCTTTTGAATATTGATGTAATAAACGCAGGAAAAAATATCACGATATATTGCCATATCGATATTTCCAATACACGGTTTTTGAATATCGATATAATATTGCTGGAAAAAATATCACGATATATTGCCATATCAATATTTTCTTACATCCCTAATTTGAATGTATGGTGATTTAGTTAAAAATAGTCATTTTTTTTGTTTGTTTTTGCATTTTAATGATAGATGTTCAAAGGTAATTAACATAAAATTAATGATACATTCATCTTTTGCATATGATAGCAAATAACCTTAAACGTCGTCTTAAATCTATGCGTTTCAGGTGGAGGAGCTGAGAGCTAAAGATGCAAAGAAAGGCCTGAAGATCGCCCAGGTGCTGGAGGGCTTCATCAACAGGAAGGTGGTGAAGCAGACAGTGATGACTGTGGTGTACGGAGTCACTCGCTTTGGGGGACGCCTGCAGATACAGAAAAGGCTAAAGGAGACTGATGAATTCCCCCAGGTACAGTGGTGGTGGAAGTGGTGCTGAGCGAGGAGATTTTCTCTTATCCAGCTGAGAATTAGCTTCACTGGGAGCAGCATGAATAATGAAATGTTTAAATGTTAGTTTGTTTTTTAAGTTGCATGATAACATTGCAGGGATTGCGTTATGGAGGTTAAAGCAGCAGTTATGACTAGAAAAGATAAGAAGTATTTAAAATTTTAGTTTAGATTATGTTAAGTTTTAATTTAATCTGATTCACTCCTGAAGTTTTAAACAATGTGTTAAACGTCTCTGCAGGAGTTTGTAATGTCACAAGAATAAAAATCATGAAAAGTTCAGCAATCTTTTCATGATTTTAAAGCCACACATCCAAATGTGTTTCTTTTTCTTTCACTCTTCTGGTTTCCTACTTTTCCACCTCAGCTCCTTCGTTTTCTCATAATGTTTTAATATTTTTTCTGTTCTTTTTGGCCCAGATTTATTTAAACTTTGTTCATTTCACCATACTATACACCAGTAGGTGAGCATTTAGGCTTTTCTAAAACCCTGGTTAGAAGAAAAAGTCCAGAAAAAAATGTTAAGTAATAACAATAATAAATGATCAAAAGAATGTAAAGAACGAAGAAAATAAAAATAAGAAAAGACAAACATTTGTTGTTATATTATTGAACACATTTTACATTATAATCGTAAAAATGTTTCCAAACATTTAGGTACTTTGAAAGTGTAATTTCATTTAAACATAAAGGAATTTAAATGAAGGCAATTGAACTTCTTTGGTTTCTTCGTTTTGCTTCTCATCGAAAGAGCTTTGTCCATTAATTATAAAGCTCCTCGGGTGAGAAGTGAAACGTCTTCAAGAAACCAAAGAAGTCCAGTTACCTTCATTCTAGCCCATTTTATTTTACCATGGCCTGGAAGACTGAGAACCGTCACCAGCTTTTATTTAAATGTGATGTGGAACCCTAAAGGAAAGATAACTTCTGGAGATGATGCCTGGTTGGAAGCCAAATGGGCTCATGGCAATTTCTCAGCCCTCCGGATACGTTAATGTCCATAAATGTGCACAATTACTGTAATTATGTATTTAAACTGAGTCATAATGAATTTTTTAGACTCATTTTGAGTTTCTAAGCTCACCCACCTCTAATGCTGATTTAGGAAGATAATAATGGAAGGGTTATGTTTGATATTTCCACCTGATTTTAACCATGAACCTTGTTTTTTAACTGAAACAGCCATCCTTTAGTTAAAAAATATAATCTCTAATAGCTGAATCGTATCTGTTTAAACACCAGAGCAGGAAACTTACAGCACAATGCATCTTAAAGCTGCAATAACAAATCTACAGAACAAGCTAGCTTTTGAATCCAAACACAGTCATGGAACACTCACTCCTTTTCTGTCAGCCATTGGCCATGTCCAGATAGTGCTAAACATCAGTCAGTGTTTTCTAGGTCCAAATGCCTTTTGTTTGTTGTCCGTGACCTCAAATGGTGTTTTTCTTTCTGGGACTCGTGTTGGTTTGTCCTAAAGTTGAAGTGGTAGCAGCAGGCTGTTTCTCCTTCTCAGATATTATTGAGCAGAGAACCTCTCACACCACTGGTGTTCTGGTGCAAAATACACAAGTGTGTTATGAGTGAAAGACTCTGGTAAATTCAGAAGTGTTGGATGGTCCGGTTGTTGGCTTTATGTCCGAGCCGTTTTGTTGGTGGTAGGGATGGGTACCTTTGACATTTGAATCGATCCGGTACTAATTCCCGGTACCTAGGAATCGATACCGGTATTTAACGGTACCAATTTTCGAAACTTTTGAGTGTTTAATATTTTAATTCTCTTTTATAATTAGATATATATTTTTCTCAATTTATAACCATATTTGATAAATATCACAATAAATAACATACAACTGTTTGTATTTTAACATTGTCCTTGTAGTTTTATAAGCTGATAATTAAACTGAAGCAAACATCTTTACTGTGAACTAAATTTACTGTGTATCTTCATTCCTTTTGCCGTCCTTTTTCAATTGATTTTTCCTACTGGGAAGTTAGAATTTCCGAGGAGAAAGCGAACGCACCATTAGATGATAACAATGGTGGCAATGGAAGCTAACATATCAAGCTACGTTATCTTAAACAGTTTATTTAACTGCTGGAGCAGATTAAAACGATGATGCCTCACACTTAAATCGTTGTCACTGGTTTCATCTTCACCCAATCGCCCGTCGCATTTAGTAAAGTGAAGCCAAACTTTAGAGCGCGTTCATGTTCTTCTAGTTGGAATTTCGGAGTTCCGAGGAGAAAGCGAACGCACCATTAGCGAAACGGAAGCTAAGATATCAAGCTAACGTTATCTTACATTTTATTTACCTACTGGAGCAGATTAAGATGAGGATGTCTCACTTAGATCTTTGTCGCTGGTTTCATCATCACCCAGTTACCCATCACATTTAGTGAAGTGGACCCAAGCTTTAGCGTGCGTTCTTTCTACCATGCTGCTCTGTTTACAACTGGCTCGCAGCGACCGACGACATAACGCTCTTGCGCATGCCCAGCTGTCTAGGCAAGTTCTCGTTGTGAAGGACGGGTACCGAAACGAGGCACCGCTTCAAATGAAGTGAATCGGTGCTCGGTCGGTACTGTGGAATCCGGTCGGTACCTTAAAAAGTACAGAATTTGGTACCCATCCCTAGTTGGTGGAACTTTTTAGACAAATGCGAGAGACCCACTTTATGTTTTATTTTTTTGTTTTTTTATGTTCACAATATGTTTGTAGCTATGCTATCTTAGAATGTTGTAAAGAGACATGAAAACATGTTTAAAGCTAGCTTGTTTGACAGATTTGCTGTTGTAGCATTAATATAGGCCCTGTTCAGCTTAGCTCAGTGGCCTAGTGGTAGAGTGTCCGCCCTGGGACTGGGAGATCGGAGTTCAAATCCTGGTTGGGTCATACCAAAGACTTTATAAAAATGGGACCTAATGCCTCCCTGCTTTACACTCGGCTTAAAGGTTGGATTGGGGAGTTAAACCACCAAATAGTTCCCGAGCGCAGCCGTGACTGCGGCTCACCGCACCCCACAGGGATGGGTCAGATGCGGAGGACAATTTTCACCACACAAGTGTGTGTGTGTGTGTGTGACAAATTTGGGACTTTAATCTTTAATCTTGATCTGTTACTAAAACATTTGTTACAGCATTTGGTGTGTATTTCATTATTACATCAGCATGATCCTGGCCTCTGTGTTTCTAAACCTCCAAACCCAGAAAATTGTTCTAAATGACTTCTGCCTAATGTTGCTAAAAGTTGAATGAATAAATGGTTTATTCCAAGCCAGTATATCAAACAATGAAAAACAACAACAAAAATTATACTGTACACAGTTATGTTATAATTATTGCTACAGTTATTTACAGCAGATAATATATAATTATTACAATAATTGTAACATAATTGTGTACAGTATTGTTTTTGTTGGTTGTTTAATATACTGGCATGCAATAATTCATTCATTCGTTCATTCATTCATTAAAATGTTAACAACATTAGGCAGAAGACTTTTGCCTAATGTCGCTAATAGTTTAAACAGGGAATTGGATGGACTTGTAATTGTGACTGATTATAGGGTGATGAAGTAGACGGGAGGATGAGATTGTTCATACATACTTTGTAAAATAAGGGGAAAATAGTAGTTTTTATTACTTATTTACTTCGATCATAATTATCAGTCCAAATAAACCTTGAAATCATATGTTCTAATATAAATTATGTATTGCAGGCCAGAAGTACACCAGGGCATAATTATTGTTTGTGTTTCCAGGAGCATGTTTGGGAAGCATCTCATTATCTGGTGCGTCTGGTCTTCAACGGCTTAAAGGAGATGTTTACGGGGACCAGAGAGATCCAGGTGAGCTGATTTTATGTGCAGCAAAACAAACAGCTGGAAAAATCCCTCTCTGCAAAGTAACCCAACATTATTACTTCCAGAGTAATGGGGAAATTAAAACAAATATTATTTGAATTGTTTGTTTCTGATGTGCTGTTTCAGGTTCAAATCAGATGTTATGCAGAGCAGATGCCAGAAATAGTGAGTTGCTGGTTTTTACTCAGAACTGGTGTGATCAGGCTCCTTGCTGAGACTGCCCAGTCTAAACCTGAAAACCCAGGAAGTGTCCCTTGCTTCTTGAAATGGCTCCCAATATTTGGAAACTCTGGATTTAGGGGTTCTGCGTAGTTTGACACGGTGTTATTTGCAGAGGATATTTTGGATCCTGATGCTTACAGGATTAAGGTTTTTTATTACATTTTATTTCACTTTGTTTGTTTTTTTCTAACAGGTCAAACAATGCTGAATTTACAAAGAAAAGAAAGAAAACAACAAATGTAGTTTGTTAAAAAGACATAATAATAATAATAATAATAATAATAAAATAATAATCGTAAATTGGCCGTACCATATAAGACTTTCCAACTTATATCAAAGTATTGGTTGGTGTAGGGTGTCCAAGATCAGACCTTTATTGTCATTATACTATATTCAGTGAAAACTGGAGCATAATATAGAAACAAAATGGAAAAAATCGATTCACGTATGAATCAAGTTTCTTATTTACAAAGATTCTGAACTGATCCAAAATGCCCGAGAACGCTACTCATACAGTTTGTCAGTCAGTGGCGTCCGTACTGTATTATTCTAAGCAGTGATGCATGGATGAACCTACTCCTTCATTATATTCATGACTCACTACATCACAGACACCTGGAAGATTTGTAACTTACAGAAGGAAGTAATCTGGGATTGACAGTCTTTGGTAGAGTATTTATTGATTGTGACTCGATTTGAATCAAGAATGGATTCTGAATCGAATCTTCAGCCTGAGAATCGGAATCAAATTGATTCATGAGTCGTAAGATTCACACCCCAAGAAAATATGATATTAATCATGTTTGGTTTTGCAGTTTTCGTATAGTTGCTGTTTATAGTGATTTCAGGATTAAGCCTCATTAATGATTTACCGGTTGCCTGATTACGTTTAATTTTCTACATTTTTCCAAAGAGACCCGTGCAACAATACTGCTTTACGAATTAATGTGTTAAAACAGAATAATAAACGGTCTAATGGTGTGAATCATTGCAATTTACATCTTCAGCTTTCATTAAATTGCACAAAATCTCATTATTACTAATTTTCTGGGTCATGAAAAATCAGAGGATATGATATTATAGGTTTATTTTGAAAGTTTTCACTGTATTAGTCTGAAAGTAATCAGCTTTGACATTACATATAAATTACTCTGAAGCCATTATGACTCCATAAACTCTTTAAAGTATGATGCATAAAATAAAATAAAAATTTACTTTGTGTTCACCTATCGATTGGCAGACAAGGCAGCTTTATTTATACAGCACATTTCATACACAGAAGCATTTCAATGTGCTGGCTAATAATAATCTAGTAATGAAACGGTTTTCTATTCTGTTTTCATAATGTAATTCCATGATCAATAATTAAAAATAAAATGGTCACTTACCATATGCAGTATTTTGATTTTCTACCAGGGGGGGTGTGGGGGGGGTGTGGGGGGGTGTCTGTGTGTGTGGGGGTATGTGTGTGTGTGTGTGTGTGTGTGTGTGTGTGTGCGTGTGCGTGTGCGTGTGTTGGTGTGCGTGCTGTGTGTGTGTGTGTGTGTGTGTGTGTGTGTTGGTGTGTGTGTTGGTGTGTGTGTGTGCGTGTGTGTGTGTTGGTGTGTGTGTTGGTGTGTGTGCGTGCGTGTGCGTGTGCATGACTTTGCACCTGCTGCTTTTTTTATAGGTCACGTCCTCTGGCACTTCACTGGAAGATGAAGTATGTGTGAAGAAAAAGGGTCTGATCAGTTCTCAGTCCCATCATCCCTGACCTCTGCTGCATTCTCTGTTGATCTCCCATTTATTCTATCAACTCTTATTATTTCAGCAAACGTTTGACCTCCTGTGTGTCCACTCTTAGTCATCAGCCCCTTACCAGTCAGTTGCTGATTTTTATCTTTTTTTTTCCTCCAGAAACTGTTAAGCTTCCAGTCGGGTGTCTTTGCTATCATACCTTCATTTAGGTGTGCTCAGGGTAGGGCTGCTCGATTATGGCAAAAACAATAATCACAAATATTATGACTGAAATTGAGATCTCAATTGTTTGGGACGATTTTTCAATTTATGTTGATTTCATTTGTTTTTATTCAGTCATAAAATTGCTCAGGGCACAATCAGGACAAAAAGAAATAAGAAACAAGATGATCACTAAAATAACTCCTGATCCCCAGTATAAAAAGACCAATATACTTATAGCTCATAGTCTATGACCCAAGGGCTATAGACCTTGGTTTAACTCATGTAAGTCTAACCAGTACAGACCCAAATACCAATATCTTGCAAATACTGACAGCAAGAATTATACAGTGGCATTTATAACAAATAAATGCAAATAAATTGATGTTCACAAAATGTTGCATAACATTTATTGAGTCATGTCAAGGTGCTGTAGGAGCGTGCACTAGCACCGTGTCCTCAGAGAGATTAGTTATTAGTTATCAGCGTGAGGAACTTATTTCTACCTTATTTATAAACTATTTATTTACAAGTCCATCAGTTAATGTAATAATTGTCCCAACCACAGCTGCACCCCCCACCCCCCAACTTGGTCTCACAGTAATCGGGCCAAGCTGCACGTGTGTTTAGCGCGCCGCACGCACACATTTAGCCGTTTTTAGTGGCTCAGGAGTCCGCAGGTGCGGTGTGTGTGTCACTCACTCTGGTTAATCCAACAGGGAGTCGGCTCTGAGAGCCGTTTCTTTAGTGACCGACACATTACTACATCATTCCCTTTCTTAATGTCCTGAAGAACGGTCCGGAGCGCAGGCGGAGTGTTTAGCTAACCTGCAGGAAACGTCGACGACAGTTATCCAGAAAGTAGCTAAGGGTTACCAGAGATGTTTCGAGGTGTTCGCTAGGTACTTTTAAGATTTAAAAAGTCAAGAAGGGGGTCTGAGAAGCTGTTGGAAATAGCGTCAAAGTCGCCAAGTTGGCAACACTGTAGGGAGGAGCGCTTCATTTGCAACTCAGGGCAGCGCAAGTGGGAGGAGCAAATAATCGGCTTGTTTTGTTTTTATAATCGTTCAAAACTCAGATCGTAATTGTGATTAAAATTCGATTAATTGAGCAGCCCTAGCTCAGGGCAATCAGGAGTGCTGATTATTGGAGAGGCCTTTGGTCCAAGGGCTACCTACCTCTAGTTTCTAGGATTTGTGTCTGAGTGAGAGAGAGCCGTTGGTAAATCTAAAAACTGTGCCAAACACTTGATTCAAAAGCAGTTTCTAGAGCTAGCAACACTCCCCTCACCTGTTCCACATCAAGCCTGCAACAGGTGTCTGCAGCTCCTCGAAGCAGAGCAGAAGATGTAAAACTTTAGTGCACATATGAAGTGTTGATGCCTGGGTGGTTAAAGCTTCTTGCTCTGATTTATTAAATCTTGGTCCAACAGAACAGAAAAGTTTCATTTCACTGATTTCAGTATGTTCAGATGCACAAACAAACAACAAATATTTGCACTCATTTAACTGATACAGTGCTTTAAATGTGTTCTGTGTTTGCTCATCAGTATGTGTGTTCCCATTACCTCTGCTGGCATTTGTCTGTTGCAGGATTGGCTGACAGAAAGTGCCAGGCTTATCTCCAAGTCTGGCCACACTGTGGAGTGGGTGACGCCCCTGGGTTTACCCATCATTCAGCCTTACCACCGCAAACGCCGCCAATTGGTAAGCTTCAGCCTCAATTGAGCCACTGTTAGTGTTAAGCTCCAGAGCTCACATGTGGTCTAACTGAAAAGTGGCCTTTGCAAGTAGCTTTTTAGCTAGCAGAAGTGGTGGCAAAGCTGTTAACGTGGTTAGATGTGGTCAGCCTGATGTCTGCAGTTGCTTCCTCACTGATGAGTCAGGTCAGGCAATTACAAAACAGTAGGTGTCTCTATTTTCTGAACTTCTTATACTGACCTTGTTCTTTGAGATTTTTTTCTCAGCTTACACAGTTTTCTCAGTAAGTCCACAAATTACCTTTTCATAAAACAAACATTGCATCCATGAATTACTCATTTATTTCTTTCAAACCATATAAATCAAAGAAACGTTGCTAATTTTCATCTGATCCTACTTTGTACATAAATGTCTCTCTCAGTAATAACTCCTGGAGGTAGTAAAATATGTTAAATCATCTCCTTGATTACCTTCTTGTGTCATTTCCATATAACATATTTCACAGAACATTGATGGAATTTCAAATGAACATGATAATAAATTCTGGAAGTTTTTTATTCTTGGACGTTTAGTCGCCTGTGGCAGAGCTGACACAGTTGCAGTCTAACTTTTAATTCTTTAGAGAATTGTAACGTGCCAAGTACAATCTTGTTTCTCTCTCTCTCTCTCTTTCTCTCTCTTTCTCTCTCTCTCTCTCTCTCTCTCTCTCTCTCTCTGTGTGTGTGTGTGTGTGTGGATGCAATTTAGAGAAAATGAAAAAGTAGGAAAGTATAAAGCACATTTCACATTTTTATAATAATTTGTTTTCATTGAAACCTTATCATTTGACTTTATCAGTGTTATCTTTTATCACCACAGCAGAAGGTGACACAATAATATCTTCTGTTTCAGACCCTTTTCTGCTTTGACTTTAGACATTTCAAGGCTGAGTTGATTAAATATTCTCAGTACAAACATTTTCCTATGTCATAAAGAACTCGTCAGTTGTCATCATATAACAAGACTACTGCTAATAGGACCTTGGACGAAAACGATCCTAAACAAGACTTTGGTGGCCTGTGGTAGCAGCCTATCAGTGATGTGGGATCTACATTTAGCAGGGTGGCTTTGTTGAAGCAGGACTGACTGCTCTAGCCTGGTGCCTAGTTCACATCCCCATCATGCTGTCTGTGTTGAGTCAGTGTTATGTGATCTTCTTGTGCATATCTGCATCTTGACTTGATTTGAGAAAAACATCTGGAGCAATCATGGGTGTATTTACTGAGATTGTTATGGGACTGCAGACAAATAGAGCACGATGAAGGCATAGAGGAGTGAGTAGGAAGAAAACGTGTCTGGCAAAAAGCAACCAGAACCCTTTTACAACTCAGGAGGGGTTTCCACATTTGCTACATTCTTACTTACAATTGTCTTTGAGAAGCTCCTTGTGATTTTTTCGGTGATAGGTTGACATATAAATAAACTCAAAGGGGACTTTTTTCTTAAGTTGTAATACAGGGTATCCGCGGGTCCTTAAAAAGTCTTAAATTAGCTTTTCCAAACTGAAGGCCTTAAAAATCCTTAAAAATGACTAATAATCCTTAATTACAGTTTTCAAAGGTCTTAAATTACCAAAGACCCAATAAACAAGATTCTTTTGTTTTCCTGAATTTCTAGTTAGTGTTCAGCATTTTTTTGTGGACGATATTGGCGTAAGCGGAACCGTACACATTCAGTTGGTTGTGAAAGGGGCTATTTTTAGATGAGCACATTAGCTGGTTAAGCTAGTGGGAGCTTGCGCCATGGGGAAGTGCAAGTTTAATGGTAACTGGATGGCTAATCCTACGTTTGCGATGTGGTTAGCAATAGCTGGAAATTATAGCTTAGATTTACTTTTAAAAAATAGCTTAAATTTGGTCAAAGTGGCCTTAAAAAAGGTCTTAAAAGTCTTAAATTTGGCTCCCTTAAACCAGCAGATACCCTGTAATAGTCCCATGGCCGATACTAAACATGTTCATGAAGTTCTTTGTACAAAATATTTCATTGGTCTGGTGATGGCTCTTTTTGTAGTTTCCCTTTCACTTCTTTATTTAAATTAGATGTTCTTTGCTTTTCATATTCCAATCATGTAAGTTTTGCTGGAGTCTGAAGTCCTGGTTACGTTGTATAAGCTCCATCTCACGTTGTCTTTGTCAATGTCTCTGTTGCTGAAGCGCCGCTGATGATGTACTGCGATTACTGTGAGTGGTTCAACTTTAATGGAGCTCAGCAACATCTCATGTGTCGTCTGTCACTATGGAGACCCTGACAGTAACACATCTTAGAGATAGCATGATGAATGTGTGCCAGCCTTTATCCAGATATTACAGTGTTGTTCATGCCTTGCAAGGAAAAGAAAAAGAAATACAAAGTGTTACTAACATGAAGATGGATGTTTACCTCAGGCTGTCAATAAAACTAGTGGGTAGCTTGACTCCAGTACTATCCGCTCGCTCTTTTCGTAAAATATCAAGCTGGCTGAAAGGGGAAAGTGGCACCTTGTTAGCAGGTGTAAGAGAGTGAGAGTGACAGATGGAATATCCCCTGAGAGTGAGTCTCTCTGTTGTTGTTGCAGGGCACAAGTCCCTCATTTGACCTGGTTCTTTTAATGTCCAGCTCGGGCAAGGAAGACGATTAGCTGAGTCTTTTTCAAGGCCTTAAAATAAATAAAGGATTGGATGCAGAGATAACCTAAATGGAGCTTTAGTTTATGCTTATAGATAACTTTCTTGATCCTCTACAATAATCCTCTAATCCACTCGCATCACTGAGCAACAAAAATTAAACTAACTTGCAGAAAGGTCACCCTTTTTTCCAAGTATAGCCAGATTAAATGTAATCTCCAGTCTCCTTTCTGCATTGAAAATCCAAGGCCAATGTGTTTTCTGAGGGGTTGTTTGTAATTAGACTCTAGAGAGAGGTGAAGAGTGATAAACAGTGAAAAGAAGAGCAGCTTTAAGTAAGGTGAAAGCAGCTAAACTTGGGCGTGCAAGTGAATAATGCTTTTTATTAGGTTTTCAGTGTGCACATTGAGATGGAAAACAGAAGCTGACCCGTGTAATCCAAGATTTTATTCCAAACTGAGGAAATTAGAGTAAGATGGAGTAGCTGAAGTATAGCCTAAGAGCACTGGGAAATACTAATCCAATCAGAGGTCACTCTGGCTTATATTCACTGTTACTTTTTAATACTGTGCACCAGCTCTCAGACCGAGCTGCAATACAGTATCACTCTCAGTGGATCGCAAGGGAACCGTCAGATGGATTTTACTGGATTTATTAGTTGATAGTGTGATTAAAAGCTGATTATCTAATGTCCTCTCTGTGTAAAGGAGTCAGGTTCCTGCTCGCATCCAGAGGTCACATGATCCATTTTTCCTCATCATTTTCATTTTTAAAATAACAATAAATAAACATTTAATAATACCATTACATTTCCATTTATTTTTAATTATTATTTAGTCCAAACAAGCTGAACAGAGGCCCCCAGTAACATTTAATCAGTGCAATTAATCAGTTTCACTGAAATTAGGAATATTTCACCTGCTGTGTCCTGAGCGCACATTTGTTATGCTCCATGTAAACCTGAGCTGTTCATCTGCTTGTGCGTAATCAGATGTCTACGAAGGCTTGCTGAAGAGGTTATAGACTCATTGCCCCCCACCCCCAGGCTGGACCGCACCTCCCCGTTGACCACGTGTGTTTATCTGTTAGTTGTCAATTAACGGAGCTAAATAGCAGCAAAATGAAAACTGTCATCATGGTTGAAACACGTAGAGCTGTTGGCCGCACAAGTAGATGAAAGAAAGACAGAAAATATAACATTTTACAGGTTTCTGGCTGATAAAATGCACCAAAGGCAATTGTTGACAGCCAATTCTAGTGGATACCACCCCTAGAGCCCTGCACTGAAGCCCTAGGCCCTCGGGCCGGGCTTCGGGCCAATGACTGTGTAATTACCTTGGACACGGGCCGGGCGCCTTTATTTTTAATTGAATTCATAAAAAAATTTGAAACACAAAATCACTCAAGAAAAGATTCCCATCTGAACATCTGAGCTGGACACTGCTCAGCGCAGCTCACTGTCAGCGTGTACTACATAAGGTCCACAGTGAGCTGAAGATGTGGAGATTGGCTTGGAGCGCGTCGCAGAACCAGAGCGCATGCGGGAAGATTCCTCCGATTGAAGCAAGCGTTTTCCAAACCCTGTCTTTCAGAGAGACTTGTCACTTAGAAAATGTTCCCTGATTATGAAACTTTGGCTGAATAGCTCTTGTTCCTGTCTCCAATGTGGCGACACATCCAGGAGCCGTCTGAGGAGAAGCCCAGAATCTGACATCCTCTTCAGCTCAGGAAGCGCCGATATGATTACGCACAAGCGTGACGCGTCAACCTGGTCTCACAGTAAGACCGGGTTGGACCTGTTCAGGTTTACACAGACAATCTTTACATTTAGAATTAGCTTACAGATGTAAAATTAATGCAGTAAAATATGAAGCATTTTATTTAAATATCCATTCATTATTTTACAAGCACAGAGAGCCGCATCAGATGGATGGAATAGCCGCATGCGGCTCCAGAGCCGCGGGTTGCCGACCCCTGACTTCAGTGGGAGGATCCTTCCCGCATGCGCTCTGGTTCTGCGACGCGCGGACAGAGGACAAAAGAACACGCAGCTAATTAATTAAATAATTTGGTTCTGTACCTTTCTCTTCAGCACAGCCAACAAAGGTTTAAGATGGGTCAGTCCTCCTGCTTGCTCAGATCATTCCCTTCCCTTGCTTGAAAAATTGTTCCAAAATGAAAGTTGAACCCACATCTTTTTTATCTGCGAATTCAATGCCGTTCGGCGAGTCTCAAATAAAAATTTGGTTATCTTTTTGTAAAAAAATATACCATTAATGTAAAAAAGAAACTCTAAATAAATTATGGTCACCAGGCGCGTTGCAAGCTTTTCAAAAGTGTGGGGGATGTTTTCTGTGCCTAAAA